AGTTTAAGATTGGTTTTCCTAGTATGTCAGAATTGCATCAAGTTTGTGGTCTGCTGTGATCGGCTCTAAACTGTGAAGCCTTAAATTGTCATAAAATGTTTCTAGAGTTCCCTCCACTTAACTAGCTGTTTAAAGCAGTTGCCCAAGCTTGCCCGCCCTATCATCCTACACAGCTCACAGTGTGTGCCCTGAAAAGGACAAACTTTGCTGAAAAACTCATTTAGTGAATTGTGCTTCTTAGAAATTGATTTGGCTTAATGATAGAGAATGGTGGGGACTGCTGTTTTATTTAGACAAGTCAGCGGGAGCAAAAATTCCCCCTAATGGAATTGCCATCGGAGCCCTGACAGGTTTTAAGAGGAGAGCCGAGGCGTACTTACTGGTTAATAAGGCTGATAGCTAAATTTTTCGTAAAGCTGTGATCACACATTCCTGTGTATGTTTCTTTGGGCTTTAGGGGCATGATGGGTTTTTTTTTTCCTCCTTCCTATTAAATATAAATATGTAGGACCTATGATAACTGCTTTGCCAAATTTTAGTGTACACCTTTCCCAGGGTGTTTAACGTCGCTGACTGGTATCATCTTCCTTCATTTCCACTTTTTCAATCAGAGACAAACATACGCTTTGACATCTGAATGGAGTATGTTGCCCTTGGCTGAGCTTGGTGGAGATCCTCACAGGTGGAGGGAGGAAGGGGTCCACTTTCATTATGCGGGAGCAAAAGGCTGTTGTTCTAGGGAATGTATCAGATTGTGGGGTTAAAAGTTTAGTGTATTTAAGCTTTTATTTTAAAGCCATCCCCTTCTTGGAAGTGAAATTCTTATTTTGTAAGCCTGTCTGTCAAGGTGGGTTAGATTTTGCTACGGGGGGGGGGGGAACAAAACAAAATTCAGTAGTTGCCTTTGAGTTGGTTCTTGTTTGTTTGATGGATCTTGGAATAGAACAACATGTGCTCCATGGGGTTTTTGGTGCCTGTGAGCTTTCGGAAGAGTGCCAGGCCTTTCTCCCAAATACCCCTGAATGGACTACCACCCTTTCAGTTAGCAGCCAAGGTCATTAGCCATCTAGATCCATTAAGGGTTGTCGTGTCTTTTGACATAACCTTTTTATTCCTGCTGTATCCTGCAGCTGCTGGCTGTGACGTTGTACTCGTCTTGGTCACTTAAGGACTGCACTGGCGAAGCTACTGATGACACCATACTCTTTTTGTTTTACTGACAGCAAAGAGACAAGAATGGGCTAAACCAGGTTTTTGTTTAGTATTAACTATTAAAACCAAGTGAGATGGCCCCACATAACTTTAATGATAGCAGGGCGTTCTGTCTTCTCTTTTTCCTAGAAGGAAGGAGAATGAAAATTATTGGGTTGATCACGCCAATGATTGACCCTAAGCTAGACTTGTAAAAGAATTGATGAAGATTGGGCTGTTGGAACAGTGAAGGATATTTTTAAAAATGTAAATATTAATCATAGTCAATTGTGGCATCCTTGTTTCTAAGCTTTATTTTCTTGTGGAAAGGCCTCCCTCATAGCACCCCCTTCTAGATTAATATTTTCATTTGAAATTTTATGTTCATGACTTATATTTAGCAGAGCTTGCCAGCAGGAAATTTAAGCTCTTTGCAGTCAATATTCAGCGACTATATTAAGGCCGTACATGTTTCCTCTGCAATCCCAAAGGTTTGTGGCTCAAATGCACCAGCTGCTCCACTAGAAAAGGATGGGCAGTGTCCTCCCATGTGATTAACTCTCTCTGAAAACCCGCCTGAGTGTCGACTATGGGTTGGTTCTGACTTGATGGTACATTATAAGAACCCTTTGAGTGAACTTAGAGTTGTCAAGTTGGAACTCACTCATAGGTGCCCTTCCAGTGGGTTTTCAAAGGTGGTAAATGGTGTAGGAAGGATTGCCCATCTTTCTCTGACAGAGCACCTGGTGGATTCGAGCTGTGTGCCTTTAGGTTGGCCACACAGCTCTTTATCCACTCTGCCGCCAGAGCTCAGAAGGTGTGAGTGGAGGGTTTTAATTGAGAGAGAGATGACCGAGCCATGTCTTGGTTAAAATGTCCTTGGATTTGGGCGCCTCTCTGAGTGCTTAAGTGCCATGTGTTCTGTTCAGAAGATATGCTTGTTTCTGCTACCTCTGCCAGAAATGTCATCTGAAACACACCCCACCCCCTGCATCCATCACTGGCCAGCCTCGAGCCCCGTGCTGGTCAGGTGCCATTACTGGAATTTTGTTTTGAAGCTTTACTCAATTGAGTTAGAAAACAGACAAGATACATACACAAAGGGGTGGGGGGAGCAACCCTACTGTTTTTGAGCCAGAAGCTACTTTAGTATTATTGTGACGGAACAGACCATTTTTTCAGACTAGCTACTTTTCTAGGCTTTTATGAAACTTTTCTGGTTTTCAGAGATGTGTTAGAGCTTAAGCACCCCCTTACTTATAAATGCTCATTGATTGAGTTCCTGGAAAAATCAATAACAGCAAGTTATTAGACATGAACCACCTCCAGTTTACTGCCTTGAGCCTTTTAAGAGCTTCCTTGAGCTTAAGGCAGCCATTCTACTTTGAGGTCACAGTGCCTGTTGGCGGGTGTCGTACAAGATTGTCTTACAGTCCCTGTGAAACTTGCCATTCTTGGCAGCTGTCATATTGCTGTGAGCCTTGCGTACACCCATGTGTTACCTGTGGCAGCTTAGTTTCTAGGTGTCATGAGGTACTTCTCCAACCTTAGTTTACCATTGCTGTTTTTAAAATAAAATTTTATTTTAATTGTGATTTTAATAACATTTACAGAGATGTTAGATTTTCACTCATTCATTATTGTACATTTTACCCCTCACCCTTCCTTCCCCTCTTCTGGTTCACTTTTTTTTTTTTTTAATATTCATTCACTGTTGGAAGCAGGAGTGGCATCCACTTCCTAAACATCATGCCTCCAGAAACCCTATGGACTTTGATAAATGTCATTAGTTGTAGAGAGGCCTCAAGCGTTTTGTTCAGGGGGTTGCTACGAGTTATGCTTGACTCAAAGGCAATCAACAACAACAACAACATTGTTGCACAGTTACACCCCCCACTTCCTCTTTGCAGTGATATTCTCTTATTCTGGAATGTATATATGATTAGGCATTATATATATACCATTGCTGTTTAAAACTTGTGTAGAATATCATGGTTTGGGTTACAGCAGTTGACTGTGAGACAGGGCTGCTGTATCTTCTCTATCGTTTCCTAGGGCTGCTATGATAAAGGACCTCAGACTAGATGGCTTACTACAACAAAAATGTGTTGTCTCACAATTCTGGGGATTATAAATACAAAATCATGTCAGTATGACACTGTGTCACCAGAGCTGTGTGCTTTCTGAAGGCTTAGAGGAAGAACCCTTTTGTGCAGCTTTCTAACTTCCATTGGTTCCTGCAATCTGTGGTCTTTCTTTCTTTGTAAATACATCACTTGAGTGGCTGCCATTATCATAACATGGCAGTTGTCGTAAGTGCCTACTCCTGCTGTGACACAGTGTCACGGTGGTTGTAGAGAACAGATTTGTTTTATCATTGTTCTAGGGACTGTCATTGGAGGACATCATAATTTGGAAGAGTAGAGGGTCAGTGCAGGAGAGGAAGACTGGACAAGATGGATTGATTCAATGACTGTGGCAATGGGGGTGGGAGTGTCAGAGACAGTGAGATTGGCTCGAGATAGGGCAGGGTTCTGCGCTGTGGTTCTTAGGGTTGCTAAGAGTTATAGTTGACTCAGTGGAACATAATAAGAACATAGTTCTAGAGACTAAAAATCCAATTCACAGTGTCAGCCACGTCACTTCCGTCCTTGTCAGTAGCCCTGATAATCCCTAGCTCTTTGCCTATAGACTGTTTCCCCCATCTCTCTCTCTCTCTTCTGATCTTTCTGTAACTCAGAAGTGATTCTTTTTAGGGTTCACATTATACTGCTATCACTTCATTAACATAAAAGAAAAACCATAGCACCATGGTTCAGGAACCACAGTTCAATGCATAATCATTATCTGCCTTCTGTGTCTCTCTTTTCTCTCTCTCTCCTTTCTTCTTTCTTTCTTTCTTTTTTTTTTTTTTTGTTACTTTTGGCAATACAGTTTGTAACTTTTGTACACTACTCACCAAAAGGTGGTTCAAATCCACCAGCAGCTTCATGGGTAAGAGATGAGAATATTCCCTCCCATTAAGATTTATAGTCTTGGAAACCTGATGGAGTTGGAACAAAGCTGACTTGAGCTTGATGGTTCTATTGGGTTAGGACCTGCTTACCTACTCTACTCCAGTAGGAAGCTCTGATGGCCTCATGGGTACGGATGTGTGTTGCCAACCCAAAGGCAATCAGTTTGAATTCACCAACTGTTGTACCAGGAAAGATGGACACTCTCCTCTCTTTTAATATTTAGCCTCTAAAAACCCTCTAGAAGGTTAATTGTGAATTGGTTCCGAATCAATGGCAGACAACTACTACTACTTTAGTGTGACCTCATGATAACTGATCATATCTTCAAAGACCTTGTTTCTTGAGGAGGTCACATTCACTTACAGGATTAGGGCTTCAGCATAGTTCTATTTGATACAAAATTCAGTGTATAATAGCCAGCTGTAGGGATTTTCAGCCCCACTCTCACCCTGTAACTGACTTTTTCTCTCTGGAGCTGGCCCTGGCTTCTGAGCAACCCTGTTAAGAAAATAATCTGTCTATTTGGAATTGTCCTTGTACAAGTTTCAGTGATCGTACTGGATTCTCACACAGGTCAATGTCATACCAGCCAGCTGTGGGGGCCTGAGATGTCAGGCCTTAACGGAATTTACTATTAGTTCTCTAGTAAAGGAGGTCAGAAAGGTTAGCTTTACCCATGTGGGTCTGTAGACCTGTCACTTTGGCCCTTCCTGGATTGTTTCCCTAGGAACCTGCTGCTGGTCTTCTGCCTTCCTAAGAGGTGACCGTTTCTCTTTCTTGCACCCTTTACAGACCACCAGTCAGACGGAGCTGGAGAACTGGATCACCGCGATCCATTCAGCCTGTGCAGCTGCCGTCGCCAGACATCACCACAAAGAAGACACGCTCCGGCTGCTCAAATCCGAGATCAAAAAACTGGAGCAGAAGATTGATATGGACGAGAAGATGAAGAAAATGGGCGAGATGCAGCTGTCTTCAGTCACTGACTCGAAGAAGAAGAAAACAATATTAGATCAGGTAATCAGTCTTCTATTTTCAGATCCTGCTGAGATTGTTAGGTCTTTAAAGTTTCTCTGCTGCCTTGGAGTCCTGAAACATCGCCGGTTATCTGCTTGTCAGCCTGTCATCCCGGCTGCTAATGTCTTTATTGTGACTGTCAGCTTTCCGCACCCATTGTTCACGGTTGATTGTTATGAGCTAAAGGAAACAATATTATATTGAATTAGAGACAGAACTTTAATAGAAGAGCCATCCTGCTCCCCCAGCAGCATGTGTGTGTGTTCTAGAAAGTCTGCCATTTCACTCCCTGCCTGACTTGGAGCTAAACTGGCATGCCAATTTGTTTCTGACTCCTCATTAAATTCAAAATGCTGATTTCTTTCAGGTAACAACAGAGCACATTTAAAAATTGTACATGTAATTGTATTTATTTTCTATTAAAAAGACAAGATTTCATACAAAGAGCATTTTGGGTGTTTGCACACTGTCATAATTGTTTTTAAAACATTGATAGCCATCTAGTAATGGCTTTGATATTTCATTCTATTGTTTAGGAAGCAATTCTGTGAATAACTAGTAGTTAACTGATTAACTTTTATTATTATTTTAATAACGTGATTACTTTTTATTCGCAATGTGGTACTGTAATCACGAATTATTTCCATAGATTTTTTTTATCCACCTGTATTCATTGTACACTAACTTTGCCTGTTCTTGAGCCCCTTATAACTATTTGTCTACTAGTTATCTTTCTACATTTGTCAATTCTAGGTATTGCCTGGTCCTATTTAAAGAAAATCTTTTTTTTTTCTTTTATGTATGGCTTATTTCATTCAGCATAATGTTTTGAATGTTCATCTGTGTTGTAACACAGATAAGTTAGAAACTTATTCTTTTGTATGGCTGAATAATAGTCAATTTTTGTGCATACCACATTGTTTTAAACCATTCATCTGTAAGTGGACACTTAGGTTGTTCTCTCTTTGGGGCTATAATTAAGTAATATCTTGACAGTATACTCAGTCCTAAGATTTGTCAAGTATAAAATTGTTAACATTTTTTCCCCTTCTCACCTCATGGTTCTCTTTTCCCTAGATCTTTGTTTGGGAGCAAAACCTTGAACAATTCCAAATGGACTTATTTCGGTACCGCTGTTACCTAGCCAGCCTCCAAGGTGGAGAACTGCCAAACCCTAAGAGGCTACTTGCTTTTGCAAGTCGACCAACGAAAGTAGCCATGGGCCGCCTTGGAATCTTTTCCGTATCATCTTTTCATGCCCTGGTGAGTAATAGCGCTGGTGAATTTTCAAAACATATTTATCAAGATGATAAACTCACTAAGTTTTTGCTCATTTTCCACTTTGTGGGGATTTGTCCTCCTTTTGCAGCGACAGCAAATTTTTGTTTGACCATCTTCTGAAATTTGTTACTTAAGCCTCTTGATTTCTCTCTTTGTCATACATACATACATACGTGCAGATACCATATACTCAACACAGATCTTTTTTATTTAACTTGTTCCTATAACATTTCATTCTATTTTTACCATTATTTTAATGATCATTTTTAAAAACCTGGTCCCATAGCTGGCCACCTCTGCCTCATCATGGCCTTAAATGTGTCTTAGTGGAACTATGCTATCTAGTGTTTTCAGTGGCTAATTTTTTAACAGTAGGTAGCCAGGCCTTTCTTCTGAGGCACCTCTGAAAACTCAAACTCACTGCTGTAGGCTCAGTTCTGACCTATAGTGCCCCTTCATGGGGTTTCCAAGACTTTGAGTAGATGACTCTCTAATCTTTGGGTTCGCAGCTGAGTGCATTAATAGTTTGCCCCGTCAAACTCCATTGATCACTGATCCTTGATCTATCTAATGGCCATCAATACCTAATGCATCAAAGGGCAGCATAGAACTTCCATGAGTTGCCAACCAATTTACATATGACTCAGGGGAGCAACTTTCCATCTTACCTCCACAACAGCAGGTGGTACAGTTGCTCTATGTGCTTGCAATCTTTAATTTGATGCACTTTTCTATTTTCACGTCTTTCTTCTTAAAAATTGCCATCGAGAACTATAGTTTTAGCCTCTCCTAGTCGCCACCCACTTAAATGTACTGCACCTTAGCACATTTGCTGTGGAAGTAGATGTTAAAAGTCTCAGGTTCCAGAAATGGCTTTGGCAAGCCTTAGCTGTGCTGCTCTTGTCTTGCCATGTCAGCTGTACCCTTCAATTGAATTCAGGGCTGTAATTCAGTCAGAGGCGTTTGTATTCTTTATAAATAGATTAGCGTCATCATTCAGATAATTAGGGGTAGATTTACATTTTTAAAGAAGTCTTAAACCAATTTCTGGAGTTATTAAAACTGGCATCCTGATTTGCTCTGCTAATTACAGCTCAGCTCTTGGTCTCCCTGGCTACCACCTCTCCATATAGCTATTAAGTCCTGTTTTTTAGGAGTGGTTGGGTTAAGTGGGGGGATAAATAAATCTTGCAAGTGTTTTTCAGTTTGTGGCTGTACGTTTGTTGAGACCTTAGGCATCAATTTTTAACCTAATCAAACTTTAGAAGTGTGTATTTATATGCCCTGACGAAGGTGTCTTTTCCATAAAGAGTTTGACATCACAGAAAATAAGTTAGTTTACTTGGGCGTCTGTTCTTGTTTGCTGCCTCAGCTGATGTGAAGGATCCCAGACAGGGAATTGGAATTTTGCAGTTGATTTATTACTTTCCCCCCCCTCTCTGTTCCTAGTTATTTGACCCTAGAATGAGTCCCCCCACTCCCTCCCTCCAAGTCTTAAAGTTGAAATATTTCTCAATTTAGCCTTTGTCCAGACTTTTTTTCCCCTTCCTTCTCTTTTTTGAGCAGAGGGGAGAGGGGGCGGAGGTGTGAGGGTGACAGGGCCAGAGGAGGAGATTGAGCTACAGTTTAAGCACCATTCACAAGGAAAGCTTCCCATAATGCCTTGTGATTTGCGGTAATTAACTGAAGGGTCCCCACTGTCCTCTTTGAAAGAAGGTTATCATTGTTCTTGTTTGCACAGATGAGCAGAATGATAGCGTAATCAGGTTCAGGCCACAAAGAGAGGCATTGTCTGGGCAAAGATGATCATTGAGAAACTCTTGTTCAGTTGTTCCACTGCCAGTCTTTCTACTTTTTACGCAGGCTTTTCCTCCTGTTGCTCACTTGGGGTCATTGTTGCCCTAGGGTACTGATTATGTTCCCAGTTTAGCAGCCCCCAAACAGTTTAGAATTGTTACTGTAAAAATTTAAGTAAAGTGAAAGTATTCAAATAGACGGAACACTCTGATCAGGTGGTATAGAACAGTTGTGGTTTGGATTTCTCGTTGGGAATGATTTTTTTTTTTTAATTGTAAATTTAAGAATTGCTTTTTGATGATTGAAACCGTGTTACTTAGCATCCTTGATTTTACTCTTTGGTGTTTGTTTCTTAATTCAGTTAACATTAATGACAATACACTGGGCATGAGACCAATATATTCTAGTGCTTAAAGCTGTTGTTGTGTACCTTCGAGTTGGAGCCAACTCATAGCTGACTCTCCAGCAGGTTTTCAGAGGCAGTAAATCGCATAGGAGGAGACTGCCCATCCTTCTCCCACAGAGGAGCTAGTGAATTCGAACTGCATGTCTTTGGGATTGCAGCACAACTTCTTACCACTAGACTCCCAGAACTCTCTCACCAGAGTTAGAGTAACAGCACAGAGTTCCTGCCTATAGCAACTTTTGCTCCTATGCCAAGAATAGATGATGAGTCCGCAAATAAACACAAAGTACAGCTTTTGGTGTGTAAGTAGGGTAATTCATAAGAGAGAGACACAAATGTATGTATATATGACTGCCTGTATATGGTTCAGGAGCCCTGGTAGTGCATTGGACAAAGTACTCACCTATTAAATGAAAGAGTGATGGTTTTCTCACTAATGGCTTTGTGAGAAAAGTATGTTGCAGTCAGCATTGATAAAAATCACAGCCTTGCAAACCCAGTGGGTCAGTTCAACTCTGTCCTGTAGGGCCACTCTGAGTTGGAATCAACTTGATGACAACAGGTATGGAGTAGCTGGGTGTTTGTGTTTGGTGGTTGGTTTGTTTTTTTTTAATGGAAAGTGGATGTGTATGTTTAATATTAGAATTCTCACTTTTCCTGTGGAAAAGCGGAGTAATTTCCCACTCATGTGACTCCTGTGTGGCCGTCATTGATGTCAGTGATGGTCTGTGTATTGTTATGCAGCTGCACAGGTTTCAGCAAAGCTTCCACACTGAGACCAGGAGGAAGAATCTGCTTGTCAACTCAACCATTGAAAGCCATGTGTGGTGATAGTGCTCAGGTCTGTGGTTGTGGGGATGGTGCAGGACCAGGCAGGGCTTCCTTCCTCTTGTGGGAGGCTTCCTCAGACCAAGGACTGACTTGATAGCAAGTACAGCAGGTTTGCATACATGTATAGATTTACATGTCAATACATATATAAATATGTGGCCAAAGGGACATTCTTTTTTGTCCTCTCTAGAGCTCTGGTGGCCTAGTGGCAAGAAGCTGTGCTGGAATCCTGAAGGCAGGTGGATCGAGGCCACCAGCTGCTCCGTGGGAGAAAGATGGGCAGTCTCCTCCCTTTTGATTCATTGCCTCTGAAAACCCGCTAGAGGGTCAGCTATGGGTTGGTTCCAACTCAGTGGTACACAATAACAACAACAACAGGATTTTCTAGTTCAACATTATTTGTTCAATGATTCTCAGCCTCCCTTTCTGAAGAAATCATGAACTCATCCTGATATGGTCATATGGGGTGATGTCAGCATGTTATAGTTTAGACCTTTTCCAACCTTCATTGACATCCTTTAACTTAGGAAGTGATGAAAATAGAGAACATGATTACATCTTTAGCCTTACTTTTTGTTTTGTGGTCTTACTCCTCATAACACAACAGTAGATGAAAACTTTATCTCATAAACATTCCCATCAGTGTTATAGGTCCCACCTTCTTATTTGTCCCAGTCAGGTTTTCGGATTTTGTTTTTTTTGTGTGTGGTTGTGGGTTGTTGTTTTTCTTGTTGTTGTTGTTTAATGTTGCTAAGCTGAGAAAATGTAAAGCTGCTCAGGTTACTCATCTTCCTATTGTCATTTGGGACCTAGAAATCTCCCTTGCCCCTAGGACCTGAGAAGTTATTGTTGTTATCGAGTACCGCTGCGTCCGAACAGACCCATGGCTGACCCTCTAGCAGGTTTTCAGAGGCAGTAACTTGCACGGAGGAGATTGCCCATTTTTCTCCCATGGAAAGCTGGTTTAAGTCCTGGATTGGATGTGGGTGAAGGTCCTCACCAGCCTACCTGTGGAGCTCCCATGGTGTTTATTGAAAACTCTAGCAAAGCATGTGTCCTAACCGGGGTGCCGACTGCTGGAGGGGCCCTGTTTCCCAGCAGCGCCTTGTTTTAGAGATGGCCTGCCATTTGGCATCCCTCACGAGGGAGTTACCTGTGTGGGAATCCACGACAAAAGTAGTTCCAAGACGTTTATCTGCAGCAACAAAGAGCAAGTGGGGAACTTTGAGTTCAAGTCAGACTTGCTCCCCCTCCTGCCACTCCCTGGTCTGAAAGGCGAGCCCGTGGGTGGCCTGCTGAGGGCTCTTGGCAGAGGCTACCTTCAGTTCCTGGGACTTTCCTCACAAGCTGTGTAGGATAAAGTTCAAACTGGGATGTTTTCTCTGGGGAAGGGACTTCAGGGGGTCCTTGTGGAGAGGCAGCACCTACTTGAGCAGTTATCACAGTGGCAGATCTCAACTTAAGACACTTCAAATCAGAGCTATGTCCATGGGGAGGGGGCTGCTGCTATTAGGTGTTGTTGAGTCAGCTCCTGATGCACGATGATCCAAAGCAGAGAAAGGAGCCCTGCTGTCTCCCGTGCCAGCCCTGTGATGGATCGATTGACATTGATCAGTTGCTGATCAGGCCATTGTGATCTGTAGGGTTTTCATTGACTGATTTTCTAGGGAGGTGAGCGGAAAGATTGTCCTTTCCCCCATGTCTGTCTGAAACCTGTCGAGCATCACAGCAACAGGCAGGTCTCTGTTGGCAAATAGCTGGTGGCTGCACGCAAAGTATGTTGACCAGAAACTGAACCTGAGTCTCAAGCTCAGAAGATGGGCATTCTTGCAGGAAGATACCCTCCCCCCCCAACTAACCCCAGTTGTTGATACCATACAAATATCTCAATAGCATTTAACTCTGCCTCCCCATTTTTAAAGCTAAAATGCTAATTTGCTTTTCCTTTCATCTACATCTGCGACTGTGGCTAGTGAGGTGCCATCTCCATCTTCTGGGATCTGGGTCCCTTCTATCTTACTGGAGATGTTTGGGGGGATTTTTCCTCCTTGAAAAGGCTTCTATCTGGGCATCTTAATCAGCTGTCCTGTGATCTCTCCTGCCATCAGAAAGAGGGAAGTGAGAAAGAAGGGACAATCATCTGACCTAAAGGACAATTCATGTTGTTGTTGTTATGTGTCATCGGGTTGCTTGAAACTCATAGCAACTCTATGCACAATAGCTCTGAAGCCTGCCCTGTCCTGAACCAATCTCACTGTCTCTGACACACCTACCCCCATTGTCTCAGTTACTATGTCAGTCCATCTCATCCAGCATCTTCCTCTTCTGTGCTGTCCCTCCACCTTTCCAAGCATGATGTCCTTCTCCAAGGACTGGTCTTTCTTGGCCATATACCCAAAGTTGGGAGATGGAGCTTCAAAATCCTTGCCTTCAAGGAGAAATTTGGTTTCACCTCTCTAAGACAGGCCTGTTTGTCCTCTTGGTAGTCCATGGTATGCTTAAGACTTTTCTCCAGCACCACAGCTTAAAGACAGAATCTTCTGTCATTCTTCATCATTATCCAACTCTCTGATGCATAGCAGTAATTGTAAAGACCATGGCTTGAGTTAGGCAAACCTTAGTCTCCAGACTGACACCATTGCTCTTTAACACTTTGGAGAGGTCTCTGACAGCCGACTTCCCCTGTGCAATTCGTCTTTTGATTTCCTGACTGCTGATATAAAGACTGTTTATTGTGGAACCGAACAAGCTACAGATCCTTGTGCTTTTATTCCATAGATATGACCTTAGTCACAAAACCTTGCTACAATGCAAATGAAGTCAACTTTAGGTGCCCCTATGCACATGCAAAATCGAGTGGCCTTGTGGGTGCCAAATAGTAAAGTTCGACTACTAACTGAAAGACTAGCTTGTTTGAACCCACTCAGAAGCCCCTCAGAAGAAAGGCCGGGCTGTCAGCATCTGAAGGATGGTGGCCACAGAGTATCCATCCTGTGGCATATACTTCTGTTCTGCACATGGATTGTCATGAGTTGCAGTATTTGGTGCTTCCTTTTATTTTATTTTCACCAAAGTTTGGGGTTTCTCAGACTGAGGAAGAAGAGAGAATGAATATTAGGAGACAACTAGCAAGTGTCCTAAAAATTATGTAATTGTGAGAAAACTAAAGAGAAGAAATTGATTATTTTAGACCTTATATGGAGTCCCAGGAATCAAAGCCTATTTGCTTTCCATTATTTCTGCTGACAGGTAGGTACTGTTTCTCATTGGAATGGCAAAACTACTTTGTAGCCTTTGGGGAGAATCCTGACAAAGTAAACACTTAACTCTCAGTGTTGGACTTACTTCCCCTTACTCTAAGAAAATTATCTAGTTCTTAAAAACAATACATCCATTTTATTGCAACTTTGTATCTTTTTGTTATGTTTCAGATTAGATATTTTCTCTTTTTAAAAGCAAAATACATTATTTTTTAAATACTTTAAAATTGAGTAGTTGGTTCATTCCCTTTGGCATTCCTGAGGGACCCTTAGAGATTCCATGTGGGTGAATGCAGATCCCACACTCACTCTGAGTTGTGAGGTCAGTATTGACTGGAGTGATGAAGAGGACACTTAGCAGGGCGGGGTTCAGGAGGGATTGAAGAACAGGTGAGTGTCGTGTCCCGATAGGTTTCCCTTGTTGATGCTCCTTCTTGTCCACATCAGGTGGCAGCACGCACAGGTGAAACTGGAGTGAGAAGACGTACTCAGGCCATGTCCAGATCCGCAAGCAAGCGAAGGAGCCGGTTTTCTTCTCTTTGGGGTCTGGATACTACCTCCAAAAAGAAGCAGGGACGCCCAAGCATCAACCAGGTAGGTGCCACAAATGGGTTCCACTGCCATCTCACTTTGGGGGCGGGGGTATTATGTGAGTGTGTTTCTTTATTGACACTTAGTATTATCTAAAATCAGTGAGTTGACACAAAGAAGTCGGTTGTGGTGGATGCTTTTGACCCGTACTGATAACATCAAACTCTGCTATTAGTCTCTCACCAGGCTAGTCTTCCACCTGCATCCTTTCCAATCCCTGGTTAATTATAGACCCTCTCAAAGTACACAGTTCATACTGAGTCCTCAGAGTGGAGCTTGATGATAAAGCCAAGTGGGCACCCAGGCCCAGGATCTGATAAGCTGCCTTTGGCATGGGATCAAAGGCCGCCTCTAGGAAGTCTAGCACTTTCTTTGCCACTGACTCTTTGGGGTTGACTTTAAAGGGTACATATTTCTGCCTGTAGGAATGAGGACCCTAGAATCTGAGAGAGCACACTTATGTCGATGGCCTTATATCCTAAGGCTTAGCAGGGATCTCCGTGTATTGTAAGGGGCATTGGTAGAGTGGTGCATTCCCAAGCTCCCATAATAATATGCTGGGGCCTCTTTCTGCTATTGACTTTCCGAAGCCTTTCCTTCGTGCTGGTGTTGTGTGTGGTGAATTTACTTTCCATTGTTACTGTCACCCTTCTCCTTTGCTTTTGAGAAATTAGTAGCTTCCAGAAATGCCTGCTCAAATTTTATGGGATAAGGGCACTTGCTTATTTGCTCTTTTTTTTTTTTTTGCCAAGAACACCCTCTGGAGCCAGTTCCACTCTGTAACTGTGAGGTCCCAGGTGTTAGAGTCTATGGGTAAGACAGAGATTGTCCAGTGTATGGACTCTGGTAGCTTAGGAAATAAGGCATCAAGCATTTTGGAAGTCAAGACTAGAATTGTCAATTTGACGTAAGCAATTGGCCCTCCTCTGTTAATGACGTGGTGGCTGTTGGAACCTGTCTATGGATTTTAGGGTAGAAAGGCCTGGCTTTATGTAGAACAGGAAGAGTCAAGAAGACCCTCTGAAGCCACTTCTACTCGGTAACAAATGACGTCACCAGGTGTCCAAGACTATGAGTTGGTTTTTTTGATTGGTTTATATAAGATGAGGAGTTGGTTGACTGGCTTGGTAAAACCCTCCTTCTTTGCTTCACTACTTCTGGTGATTAGTATACTTAAGGAATGATTTTTTAAAAATGTTGGTATGCTGAGCCCTTTTAGGTGGCCAGGATGCTCTCCTTTTAAATGGGAAGTATCTCTGGCTGTTATGGAACTTGCAGGTAACCCAAAGACAAAAATGATAAGTGAGTGCCCTGGACTGAACAATTGTACTATTTGTTCTGTTATCTTTGGGGAGAGTAGAATAATATTTTGTTGCCATAGGTTCTGTTCCTGTGTAAATTTGAAAAGGAAACTGGAGGGAAATCAATGCTTTGTCCACAAACTCACACAAGAGATTTGATGACACTTGATTAGACCTGCAAAAGGAGGACATTAACAGTTAGGGTCTCTCTCTTCTTTGGGTAATGGTGTTGGTGGTTTGTATGTATGTGCTTTGTTGTTAAAGGTGACTCCAGTCATCGCTATAAATATGGCAGGATCCACTCTTGGCTATAACAGTCCTTCATTTATATGATTCTGGTTTATTGGGACCAGTGATGCTATAGCCCAGTTGCTACTGAAATATGTGATTAAGTTTAAATACAAGCAAGTTAAATTTTTAGCATCTTTTTTTTTTTTAATCAAAGGTTGATGTAGTGTCTTATAAACAGTTGTTATTCTCTCTTAATTAAAATTTCACAGACTTGGTTAAATCTTGTTCTTAGGTTGGAAAATGACTTTGAAATTACTCTAATTGAAAGCCCACATAAAACCATTGATTGATTCTTTTTCTCTTGGCCTATTTTTTCAGACCTCTGAAAATACTATTTTCTGTAAACACATCAATAGAAAATAACTGGCTAACTGAGTCAGTTTGAATGGACGGACTCTTCCAGTCTTTGACAGGGACAAAAAAGATTATGTTTCAGTGTGCCTTACTTGTCAGGAGAAAGAGACTCTCTCTTGTCATGTAGACCCTGGCAGTATCTGCCCATTTTAGCACCAGTGTGTAAAGTTCCTCACACGTAGGTGTTTACCTCTTCACCAGCTTGTTCTTGTTAGGTGCAAGTGCGTATGACTCAGAGTGACCCTATGAACAACAGATTTGAACCCTGTCCTATCCTGTGCTGTTCTCATCCTCTGTGTTACACAAGCCCATTGCTGCAGACACCATGTCAGTCCATCTCATTGGGTGTCTTCTTCTTTTGCTGACACTCCCCTTTCCAAGCATGATATTGCTTTCCAAGGAATAGCTTCTTATAGCAACATGTCCAAAGGGTGAGAGATGAACCTTTACCATCTTTGTCTCCAAGGAGCACTCTTGCCACACTTTTTGCAAGACATACCTGTTTGTTCTTTTGGCAGGCAGGGGCTATTTAATCCTCTCCTCCAAAACCACAACTCAGTGACATCATTTCTTCTAACCTCCTTATTCATTGTCCAGCTCTTAGATGCATAGCAAGTGATTGAAAAGACCATGGCCTGAATCCCATTTGATTTCAAACTGGTATCACTGACCTTTAGTAATTTGGAGAGTTCCCTGCCAGTGGACTTGCATATGTGAAAGTTCAGTTCTTCGTTCCAAGTAAAAATATATTAAACAGCAAATACGTGAGACTAGAGCAGACATTTTTTTCATCACTAACAAATTTAGTTTACTATTTTCGCTAGTTTATTTTCTTTATATTCAGATGAATTGTCAAGCTCTAAAAGTTAACATTTTTTGGAAGGAGAAGAGTATCAGAGATTTAATATACGAAGTGATCTAGGCTAAAGTTTTTATGTCTGTCACATCACCGTTAATATTTACCTGCATGATTTAGAATTTGATGTGGGAATATATATATATATTTATATTTTGATCTATAATGTTTTCTAATACTCCTGCTCATATCCCATCCTATTTCCATGCTTCATTTGACCTGTTGCCCCAGATGTTTTCTTTTTATTACTTAAGATGGTACTTTTGTGTATGCAGGTATTTGGGGAGGGAGCTGACTCTGTGAAGAAGTCTTTAGAAGGAATTTTTGATGACACCGTTCCAGATGGCAAGGTAAAAATAAACACGTGTTCCTTTTGCATCCACATGAACAAATGAAATGGTTTCTTGGAATATTAAAATTAAATAGACTCACTGTTAGAAACCAAAATTACCAGTTCTTTTAAGTTATGTAACAGGTCAGTGAGGGATAGAAAACCATTTTATGTTTAAAACTTGGTAATAATGAGAACATTTACCTGCTGACACAACATTTTCATTATCTGTCAATTGAATGTGTATGTTCCCACTAGAATGTAAGAGGACATTTTCAGTTCTAAGTAGCAAGGTATTTCATGCTACTTGGAATTCCTTTTATGTACAACTTCTCTTCCTGAGAGTTGAAGTCTTGCTGCCCTGCCTCTTTGCCCACACATACGCTTTTTCTGCCACTAGTTTGGTCAACTAATACATTCTTAAAAATGCATGTGCCTCTCAAGTCAAGTATTCAGTTAGAGATTCACAGGCTGGGTTAAATCTTGCATGTGAATTTGATGGTGGTTTTCAAACTACTCTGATTGAAAACCTATAAAGAGTATTGATTTTGTTTATTTGTTTGTTTTTTTCCTGTGGCCACATTTTCCAGCCTGTAACTAAATGGGCATCCCTAGTTTCAAAGACTGTAATAAGAATACCAGTGGCTCTTTATCTAGGGAGAAAGTGACCTTTGTTCTCTGGACTCAGGATCAATATTCCAGAATTCAGCTCTTGGTTGCCATGCAACCAAGCAGTTGTCATTGGTCACAGAGTCTGAACTGTCCTTAAGACAGAGACGTACCTCTGGAGCCACAGTGTGATGGGAGTTCAGGCTGCTGAAGCAAGAGGAGAGAATGGCAGTTGTGGAGGGTTTTTTCCTCCCTTTCATGCCCACACAAGTGATGGGTTAATATCATTGCACAAGGCAGCTGCCCTTGCAAATACTTGTCCATGGTATCTACAGATTATCTCTGTCTCTGACACAGTTACATTGCTGTGTATCTATGCAGCCATCCACTATTTTTTCATGTTTGCAGTTGGGTAACATATCATGTATATCATTATTTAAAAACAAAACAAACCAGTTGCTGTCTAGTTGATCTGATTTATGATGACCCGAGCAGTATCAGAATTGCACCCCAGTGGTTTTCGAAATAGATCATCAGGCCTTTCTTCTGAGGCACCTCTGAGTAGCTTTGAACCACCTACATTATGGTAAATAACTGTGCAGTCCAACCAATTGTGCCACACAGCAATTGCTACACCGTTGTTAACATAACGTTTAATGTTGGGCTAGAGGCTGTGGTGTTTCCATGATAGAATTCTTCTCTTCCATGTGGGAGACCTAGAACTGACTCACAGTTATGCACAACTGCCACTCATCTGTCAGTGGAGACTAGCATGCTGTAAGTCTCACGGACGTCACACAGGTTTTGGTGGTGCTACCAGACTGAGATTTATGAGGAAGAAAGGCTTTGGGATCCACTTCCAGAGATCAGCTGGTGATGATGATCACAGGCAGCTGGCCGGCTCCAGTGGCATGTCATTGCATTTGCAGTTGCCATGAGTGGAGATCTGAGTCCACAGGAGGTAATGCAGTAAAAATGTTAGCTGCCTTCCCCTGGCGTACACATCCTGGAAGTGACGTACATTTTTCCCATTTCTGTTTTATCATCCTCTCTACCACCCTCATCCCCGCTAAGAGACCTCTTTATCCCACTGCCTGGCTGGATCTTGCAGCACTGTTTCACTGGGCTGATCCAGTGCTAAGGGGCACCTATTTAATGTGGCACGTGGGGATGGAGTCGGAAGATTCCAATTATAGCTAATGGGATTTAGACAACTTGATTGCTTTTTGACAACTCCCTCCCTGGGGTCCAACTTATCTGTGAAAACAACACTATTCAAAGGCAGAATTGCAATTGCCTTTCACAACTGGGTATAGTTACTGGCCTTTACATTCCTCTACTTAACATTTGTTCTTTTCATGCATCGGAGTTGTTATTTTACCATCCTTAAGCATTTATTTGGAGATTTGTTTTCTTCTTGTAATGTGCGGATACCAGCCTTATTCTTGATAATCTGCAGCAAAGGTACTACCAGACAGTGACTTGTTGATAAACCAGTAATCAAAGTTCCTTTTAGGCTTGAGCATCACTGTGTTGTTAAAGGCACCTAACATTGTTCTTTCCACACACCTCCCTAGTTTCCTGGCATTTCCTCATTTCCTCAATGCATGGTGTATTCTCTGAGCTTGCTTGGTTTTAACCCAGCTGCTGAATTAGAACATAAGACACACCATCTCTCACATTCACAGATGTGATGGTTCCTCCTTATGTGGCACCAAAAGGGTGTATATCAATTAAAAGCAGTCTCACGTATGTTCTTTTCAGCAAGTATTCTTAGATGCAGAGGGAAGAGGATGGTAACAGTCTGAGGAGGCTTGTCTTTGCCTCATGTGCCATGAGGCAAGGCTGCGAAGCTTCCTGACTCCTCCGGACAATGGAGCTTTCTCTCTCCCAGGGTTGTGCTTGAGGTCAAAAGAGAGCAAGGAAATGATGAGGCCTTTAACGTAAACAAAACCAATCCCACTGCCATTGAGTTGATTCTGACTCCTTCCAAGGCTGTAACTCTTCACAAAAGCATTGTTCTAGGTCTTCATCCTATGGAGCAGCTGGTGGGTTCAACCACTAACCTTTTGGGTTAATAACTGAGTGCTTAACCACTGTACCACCAGGGCTTGTTCCATTGTAGATTGATATTGCTATACTGTAATTTTTTATTTTAGAAATTTTATCAAGGCCTCAGTGCTGCCTTTGAAACAAAGAACACACATGGTAAATACTCTGGCCATAGTAATTTCTGTTGTACATGTGAAATTACTATATTGGAAAAATAATAGCAGTAAAATGGAACTGAATGAATAACCTATTTCCTGATCCCTCCCCCCCGCCCCCCTCCACCTTTGAGTTCCCAGTAATCCATGCCACACCCCAGCTGTAGCTGTCACGGGTCTGCTTGATTTCTGTCTGAGATTAGAAATCCATAAAACTCCTTCCTCAGGAAATTTCCCTCTTTCTTAAAGTACCTTTCCATATTTTCATTACTGCCTTAAGCTGTGTTCTGGGATCTTTCTCAGGATCATCTGTGATCTCCGTGCAACTTGGAGTTCCTGGATGATACCAAAGTACTCTTTTGCTAACTATAAGGTTGATGGTTTGAGTCCACCAGAAGCACCGTGACAGAAAGGCCTGGAAATTTGGTTTTAAAAATCATGCAGCTGAAAAATCCCTTGGAGTACAGTTCTGCTTTGACACCACTACCTGGGATTGACTTGGCGGAAACTGGTTTTATGTGCTTCCTATGCAACCTGGGAATTTAAGATCATTAGAAGCCAGTTGCTGCTAACTTTTTTTTTTCTTCTTATTATAGAGGGAGAAAGAAGTGGTCTTGCCTAGTGTCCACCAGCACAATCCTGACTGTGACATTTGGGTCCATGAGTATTTCACTCCCTCCTGGTTCTGTCTACCAAATAATCAGCCCGCACTGACAGTCGTCCGGCCGGGGGACACTGCACGGGATACTCTGGAGCTGATCTGCAAGGTATGGGGCTACCTGGGATTGTTCCCCTGAGAACTGCCAAGTACTCTGCCAAGGTGGGCGTGGGAGCTCATTCAAGGGGAGCAGCTTTACAGCCTTCGTTCCACTCCACTCCTACTCGATGCCTATGGAACCACATGCAAAATAAGGATAGAGGAATTCTTTATCTTTGTAAAGGGATAAATTTAAGCAGCTCCTTTCAATATATGTATTTGGTCGATTTATAGTAATCCAGTTTCCATACTCACTGTGAAAACTTCATAGTATTTAGATAATGAATGAAACAGAAAATGCTTTATTGCCTATATATTTACCTCCAAAATAAATTTTAAAAGACTACAACAGAATATTAAGGCCATGCTTATTTTAAAGAATCTAAAAATGAATGCTATAAATATTTTGTTGTTTGTCTTTTCACATTTTCTTTTTTGCTCATATGCACTTACATACAAGTGCTCGAATATATCTAATAATATTTTGTAGCATGCCTTTTAATCCTGAAATGCTATACCATGGTTTTCTTTACTTAGGTTATGGAGAAAAACTAAGTAAAATATATGTGTACCACCAAGATGGGGAATTTCTCTTCCCATGAACACGTAATTGGCCTCATTATTAGTGACAAATGGTTATGCTCACTCCCCAGCTTTCATGTAAATCCGTAGAAATGTCTTAATCTTCTCAAAGGTAACTGCTTTTATTTTCTCACTAGGAAGTAAGGCCAGATGAGTGGCCTTGAGTGAGGGGAGGGGAAGAGAAAAGAAAGAACCTTTCTTAGAGTCTGTTGTAGCTTTCACGACATCAGTAGTGTTGTTACTCTTTTTTAGGAAGTTATGTCAAGGTCAATGAAGAGCTGATATAATCAATCCCATTTTAAAGATGGAGGAAGTGGGACTCAGAGAGTCTTGCGTATCTGCCCAAGGTCAAATGAAAGTAACAAAGGCAGTGTTAAACCCATGTCTGGAGACTCTGAACCTGTGTTTGATCACTGTGGACCATCACAGGAGCTATAGGAACCTAGGTGGATCACCAGGAAGAACTGGAAGGGCTGGAAGAATCTAGAATGTTCTAGAGAAAGCTTCATGTTGCAAATGATGTATTGAGACCTCTTCATGCAATGTAGTGATTTATATAAGTTTGAACTATATAAAAAAAAAAGTTTGAACTAACTTTTACTATCTTAGCCAATACCTCAATTCCATAACTCTATAATCAGCAATTTTTTGTATTTTTTAAAAAAACAAATCATTTGCATCTTTCTGAAGAACAAAACAGGCCTCTTCATACAAATGGGACAAAATGAGAATTCAGATAAAGTATGCAGAGGAAAAGTGTAAGGGCCACTTGCTTAAGGATAGCTTTGAAAGGAACTTTGATATAGGTGTTAAAAATAAATTATATTCTCTTACATGCTTTGAATCCTTTGTGTTACATGAGTTTGAGCTTCTGGAAGACAATGGTATTTTTATTCACAATTTTTCATTTTAATTACTTAACAAAATTGGTCTATTGAGGGTTTCTGCATTCCTTTATTTATAGATGAGCATAATTCTTTAGAGGCCCATTAATATTCTGCAGAGCTGTGGGAGTTATTCTCAGAACTGCAGCTGAAATTGTGGAAAGTAGAACTCTTTTTGTAGCTACCAAACTCCAGAAGGGCTTTCCAGGGCTGGCATTCTCTCTGGGGACATTCTCAGTACATTACCTTTAAAGTTAGAGCTAAACTGTTAGAACACATGTTTCCAATCACTATTGATTCCTGGAAAAATGATTTGCGAGTGAGGAATGAGTAATCAACCCAATTTTAAGCACTTATCAATCATTTAGGGAGCTCTGGTGGCGTGATCCAGGATAGCTGAGTTGTGTGCTGATCTCTGGCAAGTCGAACCCACCAGCAGCTCTGTGGGAGAAAGATGGGCAGTTGACATTTACATGCTTTGAAACCTACTAGAGGTCTCCAGGAGTCAGAATTTATGCAACACCAGTGGGCTTGGGTTTTTGAGTTTTCAAACATTAGGCTGAATTTAAGAGACTGAGAATAATATTATCCCTGCAACTTAGAAACCATCTTTTAGATGATGAAGAGACGAGTTCCCCTAGAAAGTGTTTCTTTCTGTCACATGGCATCATTAAAATGTGGATCTTTTAACACTAAAAGGTAGTCTCGCTCAATACTTGCTGGATCTTCAGTTCTTCCTCCCAGACATTGCTTAAAAACAAAACCCAGCAGGATGTGGAACAAAATCTCATGAGCTTGAAAATGGAAAATCTTGTGTACATTTGAAGAAGTTGATCGTCTCTGGAAAAACACCCATGCAGGATAAATTACATAGTGTGCTTGGGGCCAGGTGCACTTCTAAAGCTTACTCCTCCTTTGGAAAACACTTTATTGTAATTAGTGGAGCCAATTTTATTCTTAAGAGGGAAAAAGATAATGGGGAAACAGTACTACATGTTATTAGCTGTCTAATAGAATGGTTGAGTGTTTATTCTTTTTTAGAGGCACATTTAGAAACAGGTGATTGTAAGGATGTCTGTCTGTTATTTCATTATTGTCATTCGTAGCATTGGTGATGGTTGTTTTTGCTAATATTTAATAATCAATCTCTTTCTTCTGTCTCTTGCATTCAGCTCATTCTTTTTCCTATTCTATCTGATCCACATCATTTCACATCCGTTTGCCATCTGCCATCTGAGCACCAGTCAAGTTCTGGTATAGTACATGTTTCAAGATCTGCATTTCATGTACAGTTATGTTGTAGATGTTACTAAGATGATTGTTGCTAAATATAGCAAGTAGACCTATTGGCCTGTGGGTTATGAATTTATCAGATAATTGCAGTGATCAAATGATTGCAAAACTTTCATTCAATTGAACTCAAAGACATTATTCATATGTGATAGTGGTGCCTTTGATATAATGCTTTTGCTTTGTTGGCCTGTTGCTACAGACATTCTAATTTATATTGGCATTTAAAAAAAAAAGAAAGAAAGTAGCTTTATGGGGAGGAAAAATGTCTTTAGTTTTGTATTAACAGTGAGTGCATGCGTGTATCGGCATGGATTTCTGAATGCAGTAATTGCATGTTTGTATGTTTCCCAGAGAAATTTCATTGAATTGAGGGGATATGAACAGAAATGGAAGAGCAAATGAGAAGGCTTGGGAAGACCTGTGACACTAAAGTTTCTTTTAGTTAGCTCAAGCTCTTTGGTGAAAAAAAAAATCCCATCTTATATTTTGCTACTTCAATCTTGGAGTGAATAAGATGTGAGTTTTTTTAAAAAATGAAAAATGATTATAACTAACTTAAAATTTGTTCTGTAGTAACGTCTGGCTGTTTAATTTGTGGCTGCATCACCTCAAAATGAATCAAATGCCCTTTAATTAACTTAATTAGATAAACTTTGGAAAGCAAATTTATACCACTTATTATTTTTTTTTTACCTGAATTTTGTGTTAGGACATTTTTCCTTTGAATGCTTTTCAAATCTAAAGCAGGCCAAATACAAGGAATTACTATTAATATTTTGAATTCTTCTCACACAAAGAGGCATTATGAACATGACTAGTTGTTTGACTTGGTTAGATATTGATTCGCATGTATCTGAGGAGAATACAATTCTTCGTGAAACTTCTGACCAGCTCGTTTAGTTCATTAGGATTTCCCCTTTATGTTAGGTCAGCTGTAACTAATGAGGTTTTATAATTGAAAATAATTGACCAGAATGATAAGACACACTTGGATATAGATCCAACATCCCAGTTTTAGGGTATCTAGCAATTTAGTGACCTAACTAAAGGTTCTTAGGATTCTGGAAGGGAGTTTTAAATTTTGTTTGTTGTACATGTGTGTTTGGTTTTTTATAATTCTCAAGGCATTGCTGTAATTTAAAGATGTGGTGGTAATGGAGGATGGTGAAAATCACCCTGTGCACCATTGATACAATCATCATTCCTGTATTTTCTTCACTGTGCTAAGTAAGCACTGAATGGTTGTGTCTGTTGTTTATTCTTGGATAAATGTTTTTAGCATGGTAGTTTTTAAAGAATAGTTTAAATGTCTTTAGCAAGATTTTAAGAGATGAGAGTCTCCACTGTTTTGCTCCGAGGACCACTTTAAGCTCCATGGTGTTTGACAGTGGTCTGTCTTGCTCTTACACTGGGGAGTTAGAAGCCGGAAGCCCTGGGTGAGCTTGCTTCTTAGGTCTGATTTCTGGATAGTGGTGACAGACTCATTGAGAGTGGCCACAAGTGGATTCATTCCTGCTCCTAAGACTTTATGCAATTTCATTTCCTTCTCCCTTCCGCCTTAGTCAGGAACAGATGGTGAGCCAAAATTTTGTGCTTCTAATTTAAGATTGTAATGAGGACCTGGGTAGGTGGGAAGTATTTGCAGCTTCTATCTCTGTGAGGGAGAACTTTCTGGCTTATTATGTCACCTTAAGTGTTAAGTTTTGTTTGTCTCAGTTGCTCTCCAATGAGCAGTGGTGACTAACTCAAACCTTCCATGTGTTTTGTGATTCCCCAAACTCACTCATTATCTTTGACATGGGCAATCCTGGATCTGGCATACAGCAAGCATCTGGCCTCAGATACTGACGCAGAAAGGACACAAACTGAGTGCACAGGAACGTGTTAGCTGAATGGCGTGGGTGGTCAGAACAATGGCCCTTCAGCTAACACGCTGCACAGGGTAGACACAGGTCCTTGGGGAACACTGATGGGAAGGATTTTCATCATTCTACTAGATGTTCAGTGCAGACTCATTTCCACTTTCTGGAAATGTGCTTTTGAAATAATGCAGGATACCTTTCCTGCACGAATGTATATATTTAAAAAGCAAAACTACCACTACTTCACTTCCATTTCTTAACACAGACACACTTTTCCTACATCTCTGCCTTGTCAGCTGCATGCTCCACACAGTGGTAACACACCTACAGGTTTGCTAGATACTGTTGAGGAGTCCTGGTGGTGCTGGGATTAGTTGCTTGGCTGCCAATCACAGGGTCAGCAGTTCAAAACTTTAGCAGTTGGCTTCAGGAAGAAAAGATGAGATAGTCAGCTTTATAAACATTATAAACTTGGAAATTCTAAAGAAGCATTTCTTCTTTGTCCTATATGGGCAGTGTGAACTGGAATCAATCCCACAGCAGTCGGTTTAGATTAGATAGATTAGGTGAATAATATTTTAATAATTCATAGAATTTTAAAAATCTGTACACACAGGATTGATTATTTGTATGCACAAACACTTTGATAAATGTCGATAGTTGTAGAGAGGCTTCAGGCCTTTTGTTCATAGGGTCGCGATGAGTTGTGCTTGACTCAAAAGCAATCTACAACAATACACACACACACACACAGAGACGCGTGCACGCGCACGTTTGTTTGTGTCTATGTGTGTGTGTGTGTAGATATCCCCTCTCTTCCTTGGCAGGGTATTTGAAAAGGTCACTGAACGAGTTAAAAATTAATTTTGTTTTGAAATACTTCTCATCAAAAAAGCTTTTGGTATGAAATATATATTTAAACTATGAAAAATCTCAAACTCATCTGAAAAAGGAGAGAATAATTTGATGAACCCCTGTGTACCCATCACTCAGATTCTATGATTATTGGCTCAGGCTTCATGTCTTCTCTCATTCACTCCCACCCCGACCCTGGACTATTTTAAAAGAAAATTCCAGATGTCATCATTATATGTATTAGCACTTCTGTTTTGTCTCTTAAAGGCGCATTGGAAAAAACTAATCCAGTTTAAGCCTTTTCCATTTAGTAGTCTATTTCAGCCTTGCCCTGGAACTCTTGGAGGCACTTTATTACTTTTTCTTTGTATCTTCATGCCTTATGGTTAATTCAAAGGTGATTTCCAAGAGAAGGGAGGGGAAATCAACTGGCCCATTCTAGATCAGAGAAGTCCTGAAAATGACAATTCTGAAGTATCATAGAATTCTTTTCTTAGGCATGTCATTCAGTGTGTTTCCACAGTTGGATGACATACATCCGTCTGCTCCCCCTGGAAGGAGCCCCACTTGAAATAATACTGAAGTCCAAAAGTGTTGACTTCACACTGACTCCCTTGCAAATGTGCTGTTAATAATATTCTGCTTGTTCTAATATGGTTTCGGGGCACAGAAACATTGCCTTTATTTTCCCTTACTATTGCAAATGCATTCTCCTCAGGATTCTTCTCTAGTCACCTATTTTGTTGAAATTATGTTTATGAGCTTCTTTTAATGCCTTTTATTATAGAAACAATGCTAAAAAACAAAGTGAGTCAAATAAGCAGGAGTGAAGATAGTAGCCAGTTGTTTCCATTGAATCATAGTATTTTTCAGATGAAGACCTTTTATGAAGTATAGAAAATTTACATCTCCCCTTTTTTGTTGTAACTCTAACCCCCACCTTTCGGGGGGGGGAACCAACAACAAAACTCTTTTATTATTCCTGGACATACGTGACATGTTAATGGAGAATTATTTACTCCATCCTATTTCCTACGTAACATTATTTTTTTCTTCTCTTTTTTGGTCCCAGACACATCAGCTGGATCATTCTGCTCATTACCTGCGTCTGAAATTTCTAATAGAAAACAAAATGCATCAGTACGTTCCAAAGCCCGAGGAGGACATTTATGAGCTGGTAATGTTTATGACTGTTGTCCAAGTACATTCTGCAGGAGATTATTTCTCAATTATGTGTGTACTCGTGCTAATTGTGATGGGTGGAGTGGAACGAGTTCTCAAGTAAATGAGCTTGAAAGTTTGTGGCGATGCCCTTCGTCATCACAGTGTGTCTGCTGAGTGGAAATGTCATTCGTGCTCATCCAAAGAGCAGTGCCATGCAGTCATGAAAAATTGAAATCCAGAGCTGGTGCTCAGATGGAGTTTTAGGCATTAGTCTTCTTTCTCCTTGCAGCTTTGACAGTATTTTATTTTAAATTGGGGCCTCCAAGATCAGCTGGCTGTTGTCACCCCCAAAACCACAGTCATTTCCATTTTCTGTAACTTCTCCCTGCATATTGAATCTGATGGTTCACTTCCTGTTGGTGGCAAAGCTGCCAGCTCGTTATCCACCCTAGCTTGTTAGACTGCATGTAGATAGATCCGTGGGGTCATTTGTGTGCAAATGAGTTTCATTATGGAATATAGCTTTTGAAGCAGATCTGGGCTTGCATGCATGCTCTGTTGCTCACTATTTATGTAGTGTTGTGGGGCAGATGATGCTGAATGTGTTGGATTTTGACAAAGGCTGGAGACAATGGCTAACATAGTAGTTGCTCAATAAATGCTTGTTACTTGAATAACACTATAGTGGCCAAGATGGCACAGAATGGGGCAGTGTTTTGATTCTGTTATCCATAAAGTTTGTTACTAAGACTAAAGCTAACTTGATGGCAATAAGCACTAGAAACATTGTAATAAAATAATGAAGAGACTCTTTCTTGTTAGCCTAGCAGAGGATTTGTGGTGGTTTTGGGTTTCTTCACCCTGCAGTTTGGAGAACATTCTGGGCGTGCAGCACATGTCTTGGAGCTCTGTCTACTTTTTGCACTCACTCATCCCTCTAGGGGCCATCACACTACTTCCACGAATATGTCAATGATAACAGGGTGACTTCAGACAGGATTTTACCACAGGAAGCAGAACTGGAAATTTAAACCCAAACAGTCTCTTTTTGGAACAAGGAAGCATGTTTTAAAATTTAATAGGAAATCTTTGTTTTTAGTCAATTTTCCTTGGGTAGATGTTAACACAACACCAGTTTCAGGTCAGCTGCACCAGTTTCAAACATAATATTTGGTGAGTTTTGACAAATAAGTGTATATGGTCTTGTTTAAACCACTATGATCCTGATTGAGAACATTCCTGTCATCTCACAAAGTCACCTCATGTGCCTTTAAATGTTTTTAATTAAATATAAGAGAGAGTGTGTGTGCGCACGCTTTGTGACCCTTATCATGCACTGCAGATCAAGGAAGATCAGAATGACAGGCCCATTTTCAACTATCACTTAAATCAATAAGTGTTAATAGAGAGGGTATATTCGACACAGAGAAGAGCTGATTTATTCTTCTTTTGGCCCCAGGAAAAGCCCAGTTTCTCTGTTTAAGGGGAGAGAAAGAGATAAAGCCCCTTCTTATCTTAAGGAGGAAATTGTCTTCCTGGAATCTCTATTAGACCATATATTTTTGCATCTGGTGTCAGTGGAGCCATCAAATTCTCAGTGTCCGGGATTCCAACTGCTGTGTCCCCATTATAGCAAGCACATAGTAGTGCTTGATAGGTATTTTTTAAACATGAATTTATTTTGCTTAAGATCGTGTCATTGTGTGGTCATGCCCAGCTAAAGAGACTAAGATATGCCAAGTTTAATTTGTTTTACCAATAGTCACTCTGTATATATTAAAATGATAATGTATTAAAAGAATCTGACACAGAAAGATGGACGCTCTCACATATGCCTGTGAGAAACACAGTCCTATCATCCACGCATAGGGGTCTTCAGACACACGCATTCCTGAACCCTTTGGGTTGCAGAGAGCTTTCTGTTGTCCCTTGGTGAGGAGGTGTTAGACCACACATGGCTATTTGGTTTTCTTAGCTCACTTCCATCTTGTTTTTAATAGACTTGGGAAGCTCACAGATGTTCCAGGCAGTCTCCCCAAAAATGACTCATTTGTCTTTGTCCCAAAATACTGCATTTTCTGACATTGTTCTATCAAACATTCTTTAGTAATAAGGTCAATTTAGTTTTCAGGGAAATAAATTAAGATTTGTGGATCAAGTTTCTTTATTTTGGGGCAAAAGGAAACTCTGTTGCTTATGAATAACCAGGGTTAGTCATTCATTTATGTGCTTTACTAATTATGTTTTAATGTAATACCTGTTTGACTATTTTTTCTTGATTAGTTCCATGTTGGGTCTGATCCACGGAATGATAGTGAATGTCGTTATAGTCCACGGAGGCACTGGCTTTTTTTAAAAAAAACCCACTTAATGTGTTTTCTTTAAAGTGACAGGTAGAAATAGAGTTTGCAGAAATACCAGTAGATTTATGTATTCATTCATTTAGCAAATGTTTATTTAGCATTTATTAGGTGCTTGACTCCATGGCAGCTGCTCAGGGCTTTGCAGGACACTCTCCTCCCTGCAGAAGTCTACTTGAAGCATGCAAATGTGTGATGTGTCAAGGATGCAGAGAGGCTTGGAGAAAATTAGGGGAGGAACACAGAACGGTGATACATTCAGTGGTGGTGTGCCAGTCTTTTAGGTCTGTTGTTGTTTTATCAGGGCACTGCAGAGTCATGAGTGAGTCATGGGGGTATTTTGAGTAAAATTGTTCTAGATTGTATCAGTCAGAGTTCTCAAGAAAGGGGGGGAAGATTACTTCTGTAGATAATGTAGGAGTGAGCCCTCCTAGCACCATGGTTAAATGCTTGCTTGGCTGCTAACCAGAAAGTCAACAGTTTGAACCCCACAGCCACTCCATGGGAGAAATATGTGGCAGCTTTCTTTCCAAAAGGTTCACAGCCTTGGAAACTCCATGGGACTGTGTGATCCTACAGGATCTCTATGGATATGAATCAACTTACTACACATACATATAATCTAAGGTATACACATAGTATAAATATATGGCACTCTGGTGGTTTATGGGCAAGAAGCTGTGCTACAATCCTAAAGGAGCATGGTTCGAATCTGCCAGCTGCTCCACGGGAGAAGGAGAGGCAGTCTCCTCCTGTGAGATTAACTGCCTCTGAAAACCCACTGGAGGGTCAGCTAGGAGTCAGTTCTAACTCAGCAGTACACAACAAAAACAATAGTATAAGTATATATGTGTGTATTTATTCATTTGTTAATTTTAAGTATATAATCCTGGTGGCATAGTTTATAACATGTTGGACTGTTAACTAAGAGGCCACACGTTCAGATCTCCCAGCCACCTGATGGGAGAAATAGGCAGTCTCCTCTCATGAAGATTTATAGCCTTGGAAACTTGATGGAGAGTTCCTATAATTTGGCGTTAACTCAGTGGCACTGTTATATTTTATTGGTTTTTGTGAATTGCTTTTTTAGATTGAATTCTAGAAATAGAAATATGTATTTGTCAGTCATCTCTTAAATAGAGATTTATTTCAAGTAATTAGCTCATATGATTCAGAGAACTGCAAAGTCCAAAATCCATTGGATAAGACAGCAGGATACAGGTTCAGGCAGGAGTGAATGCTGCAGGCTTGAAGCAGAATTTCTTTTTTATGAATCTTGTATTTTGCTCTTACAGTCTTTAACTGACTAGATGAGGCCCATACAGATCGTGTAGGATAATCTACTTAATGTCAACTAAGTTCATCATATCTACCAAATTCCTTCACGTAACACCTACATTATTCCTGTTGAGTATGACTCATAGCGACCCTATGAACAGCCAGCCCGAACCCTGTCCTGTCCTGTGCTATCTTCATCATCTCTGACGTACTAGAGCTCACTGCTGAAGTCACTCTATCCGTCCATCTCATTGGGGGCCGACTGGGAGTCCTTCTCCTTCACTGACCTTCCGTCTTTTCAAGCATGAAGTCCCTTCCCAAGGACTAGCCTCGCCCAGCTATATGTCCAGATCATGATAGACAAAGCTTCACCATCTTTGCTTCCAAGGAACACTCTGGCTGTACTTTTTCCAAGACATCTATTTATTCTTTTGGGAGTCTATGGGATATCCTCCAGGACCACAACTCAGAGCCATCAAGTCTTCTTCTGCCATCTTTAGTCATTGTCCAGCTCTCTGATGCATAGCAAATTATTAAGAAGACCATGACCTGAATCAGGTCATTAGTGTTTGATTAAATAACTGAATATTGTCTTTAGTTGCCATCGAGTTGACTGACTTAGGCCGACCCCATGTACAGCAGAATTAAACAGTACCCTGTCTTATACCATCTTTGAGATCTTTGATATTCTTGAGTTCATTGTTACAGTACTGTGTATTTTGAGTGCTTTTCAATCTAGAGGACTATTTTCCAGTACTAGAAAAATGAATAAAACCTCATTGCCATCGAGTTGGTACTGACTCGTAGTTGACCCTCCAGCAGATTTTTGGAGGTTGTATGTCACCGAGGAGAAGATTGCTCAGTAATGTCTTGTGAGCCACTGGTGGATTCGAACCACCAGAGAGGGCTCACCTTTGGATTTGCTGCACAACTCCCTATGGACGATGCCACCAGAGCTCCAGGATTACAGTGGACAATATTCTGTGTTTTCATTGCTTAATTTTGGAGGTAGATTGCCAAACATTTCTTCCTAATCTTCCTTAGTTTTCCAGCTCTGGTAAAAACTGTCAGCCATCAGTGACCCTGCTGCTGTGGGCAACATAAATGTCACCTCTTCTTCCATCATCCTAGCAACATGCAAACCATCGCAGCACAAAAAAAGGGACACAGAGGTGGTGGCACTCTCATCAGGTTGACATGTAAAAGTCACCATCAGTAGGAAGGGGGTATACTATATGATGAGACCAGGTGCAGAGTGAAGGTGGTGGTAGCTTACTTGGGGTGAGGCATATCAAGGGGAAAGGTGCAGGAGATGAGGGTCTGTGTTTATAGGGTCTTGTTTCTGTTTGTAGGGTTTTGGAGGTCATCCTAACATGTTTGGTTTTATCCTAAATTTGATGGAAACCTTTGAGAGAGGATAGGCATTGTCTGGTTAAGGTTAAGGTTGCCTGTGTGGGCAGTGAGTCACAGAGCATATGAAGAAAGCGGAAGAGCAGGTTTGCGGCCAGTGAGGCAAGAGATGTGAATGATTTGAAGAGGGCCTGACAAGAGAGACGTGGTAAGAAATGGTTGTAATTTTGTAATAATTCAAATGCCTTAGTAAGCAAGTTATTTCATAGAAGCCTGATGATCTAATCTGGTCTAGAAAAGGAGAAAATATGCTTTGTCATTGGTTTAATAAAATAAACATGTGCGACTTCATTGTTAAAATATTTATGTAGAAAACTGCAACATTTCCAAATTTTTAATTTTAGACACCGTGGTTAAGGATGAGAAATAATCCCTATCGGAACACAAAGACAATGTCAGCACACTGTGAAAACTGTAACTGTGTAATGTTATTGAACAGTTTGTATAAACAAAACCAACTGCCCGTTGAGTTGATTAATGACCCCATAGAACAGAGTAGAACTGCCCCCTGTGATTTCTGAGGATGTCCTCACAGAAGCCGACTTGCCTGAGCAGAGTGCTCAGTGGGGTTGAATTGCTGGCCTTTTGGTTAGCAGCTTACTGCCTTAATCACATTATCACCGGAGTTCCTGACCAATTTGTAGAAAATTGTCAGATGGGGACTAGTTTATGGTGCAGAATTTTACTAACAACATAATAAAATGTTTTTAATGTACAGACATTTTAAAAAATTAGGTTTTTAATGAATGCTTTTATACTTTTTTTTTTTCCACTTTGGTTTAATGAACCCAAGAAAGGACTTTGTAATCAAAGGGTCTATATGTGTGATAAGTTTGAAACAGTTTGGAGACAAGACGTAAATATGACTGTCACACAAATTACTAAGAAAGCTGAAAAGTAGTAATCTCTTCCTCATTGCTGTTGAATCGGTACCAACTCATAGCTGACCCTCTAGTGCCTTTTCAGAGGCTGTGTATCGCACAGGAGGAGGCTGCCCGTCCTTCGTATTGTTGGCCGTTTTCCCACTAGATATTTGGCAAAGTGTTGGGAATTTTGGGGACATGATTAGAACACATAGTGATATACTGCCACCTGGGGGAAGAAGTTGGCTTTCAGCGAAGTTTGTAAAAAATAAAAGCAAGGCTCAAAGTAAGTTGAAGTGAACACATCTGAGAAAAATATTTTTAGCACTCTGAAGCATTAAGAAACATAAATGTCATAGTATTTGCTAAAGTTTGGAAGCTAGATTTTTCTGAATATAAATCAGCATAAGGATTTTTTCCTAATTTGACAATATATTTCCTGAAAACTTTTGGAAATATAAAAATGAAACGTTCAGTCATGTCCATAACACATTGTGTTGGATAGAGAGGGCGTTTCAGGAGGTAAATCCCACCCCTCTGGCATTCTCTAGCCTGCCTGTTTTTCAGGATCTTTCCTCCTAAGCAGTTCTCCCTACCTCTCATCTTCCAAGTGCTCAAAGTAAAGGTCTACCGCCTTTGGCACATTTATGTACTTGAGAGAGTAGTGCGGTTAGCATAAATTCTGGCAGTAGCCTTTATCTTGCTTGCCTGGGTTGGTCCTGTTTATTTTGTATCCCTGCACACTGCCCGTGGTCCCTGGGGGACACAAGTGGTTGTGTTTTCCTGAAGGCTGATTATTTGAACCCACCCAATGACGCTGGGGAAGAAAAGTCCGGCGATCTGTTTCTTTAAAAGTTTGGAGCTAAGAAAACCCTGTGGAGTACAGTTTTATTACACTGTGACACCTGGGGTTATCATGAATCAGAAACATCTCAAGGGCAATAGGTTTGAGCTCTTACCAGGAAGTGTTTGTGGGTATTATACTGTAGCCAGCAGTGCTGTGTCTCTGGAACCTAAAGCCCAACTCCCAGCTCACCCTGTATTCGCTTTTATCACCTTAGGAAGGTACTTTTTGGCCTTATTCTCTTTATTTGAGAAAGAGATCTCTCAGGGTTAGCATGAGGGAGAAGAACTCATAGTAAAAAAAATTTATAAGTTGTTGTCTAGAGAATGAGAGGTTCAGACATATGAAAATGAAATTCAATTAATTGAAACACTAAAGTTTCTTAGGGAACTCTGGTGACCTAGTGTCAAGAAGCTGTGCTGCAGTTTCAAAGGTAGGTGATTCCAATCCACCAGCTGCTCCTCAGGAGACAGATGGTCAGTCTCCTCCTGTGCAATTGCTTGCCTCTGAAAACCTGCCAGAGAGTCAGCTAAGGGTCACTTCCAACTCGATAATACACAACAACAACAAACAACGTTTTTATGTAAATTTATAATAGATCCCATATTGCTGTAAGTTGGAACTGACATTTGAACAGCAAAAACCTAATGTAAACTATTCATTGCTCTATTTTCTTGACTTTTCCAGACTTTCTTGGGTTTCTAGAAGTTGGTTTGTGTGTTTAGGTTTTCCAGCTAGTTTGATGTTAAACTAATGGCTAGTAGAAATGAATCTCTGTCTACATGATGTGCTGTCTAATTCAATGCTATAATTTGTCTCACCTGTTTGTATTACTGTGGAATTTTTTGGTATATAAACAGAAAAGAGTGAAGGTGAAAGATTCCTCCTGTTTCCGCAAATCTTGCCTCTAGATCTTTATAATCTCTTCTTGATTTTCACAATTTATTCCTTTGCCCAGTGATAGGAGTTTTAATTTACTGTAGCATTATTTCTCATGTCTGCGATCAAGATAAGGTGGGAAAACATATTTTTATTGACTTGCTAGGCAATTGGGATGCTAAGTAATTGCTTATAAGCCAGAACTGTACCTACTTTTGGGAAAGTGAACTATAAAATTCTATTTTGACTCTTACTAAAAAGATTGGAATGTAAAGAAAATCTTCCAGCTATCAATTATGAAAAAATAGATTGTGATGACAGTTACCATTATGCTATTTATAATGAAATTCTAATCAGACTCCTCTTTGTAAATTTCAGCTGTACAAAGAAATTGAAATTTGTCCAAAAGTCACTCAGAACATCCAGATTGAGAAGTCCGATACAGTGGCTGATAATTATGGTATGTTTATTTTTTTTCTTCCCTCTTTAGTGTTTGTGTTTCAAATCAGAGCAATTCCTGGGTTAAACATGCACTTATTTACAATTCAGTAAAATGCCTCTGGGTCTCTTTTGAAACAGAGAGCACATCTGGCCTCTGTGCCCCTGCAGAGCAGCAGATTAGGTGAAAAGAGAGACTTGCCCTGGGAACCATGAGAGCATGGCCTTACATTTCATAACTTTATTTGTGTTTTGCTCTCATAGAAAGAAAGTAGATTTATTGAGTATAGATCTGTAAAAATTATTTTATATCTTTGTAAGGAAGCAACTATTCTTTCACACCCTTCTTTCCAAAACATAATGCTGAAGGGATGTAGTTGTGTAGTGTTTCTTGCTCCCTATCATCACCTCACAGCGGGCTAATTCATGAGGAGGAGTCCTCTAAAAAGCAGCCACAAGCACCCCCCAGTCTCTTGCTAGTGGCTTTCAGCTTCTTGTGTGGATTTGTAAGTGAAGCTTATTGTGACATCCTCACTCATTGCCATCCGGCTGAAACTGACTCATTGCTAACGCTTCAGGGGGCTTTTGGAGACTCTAAATTACACAGAAGGTCATTACCTATCTTTCTCCTGTGCAACCAGTGGTGAATTTGAACTGCCGGAAAGGCACCACCTTTGGGCTAGACCACCTTCTTCCTCGTGTCTGTGGTGTACTATAGCAAAAAGATAATAAACTAGAATCTTCAAAGGGAAAAATATGTGATAAAGTCCAGTGGAAACCAGGTGCACAGGTCCAAGAGTTCCCTCCCAGTAGAGTCATACAGGACACACGTCATTACTCTAGAAACGACCAGCAACAACATGTGTGATATGTTGTCTACTAGAAAAGCTTGCTAGAGACTCAGCACCCTGGCTTTTTATTGGAAACTATTTACTGGGGGCCCTATGACTAGCATGTACCAAAATTCCAGACTCCCAGAAGGGCAGAAAGTGTGGGCACAGTCAAGCACTCATGTCAGGTCACATGGTGGGAACTCTTCCAAAACCTTACGTTCCCAGATGCCAGCCAAGGGCCTGCCTTGTAAACTGAATATTAAATGATAGCTTTCAGGCTTGCTGTGCTCAGTCTTTTTTTTTTTTTTTTCATATTTATTTTGTACTGGCTTACTTACAAAGTTCATATACATTGTTTTTCACACAAGATCTTTCCCATTTCCTTTACCCACCCCTCCCTCCCATCGAATTGTGCAACCCTGTGATTAACCCTCTGCTCCCCCACCTCCTGGATCCTCACAAATGTTCTAAAATAATGGTCTTATACAGTATTTTTCTTTACAGGACTGAGTTAGTTCACTCAGTAGAATGCTCTCCAGTCCCTCCCAAGTTAGGTAGTGATTTACAAAATCATTGCTCCTGTGTGCTGCATAGTATTTCATTGTGTGAATGTACCATAATTTCTCAATCCATTTGATTGTGGTTGGATATTTGGGCTATTTCCATGGCCTTGCCATGGTGAATAACACTGCAATGAACGTTGGTGTACAAGTCTCTCTGCCTCAGTTCTCATTTTCTTGGAGTATGTTCTAAACAGTGGAATAGCTGGGTCATATGGAATTTTCTATGTTCAATTTTCCAAGGAAGTACTAAACTGCCTTCCAGAGTAGTTGTACCATTTTACAATCCCACCAATAACTGATAAGTGTTCCCATCTCACCACATCCTCTCCAACATTTATTACTTGCTCTCCTGTTAAACTTTGCCACTGGTACTAGAGTGAGAAGGTATGGTCAATGTGGTTTTGATTTACATCTCTCTTATTGACAGTGATTTCTTCATATGTCTATTGTGTGCCCAGTCTTTTTCACACAGGTTTTCCGTGGTCTGGCACAGTTAAATCTATAATACATTTCTAGCATTACATTAAAGTAAGATAGAGAAGTCTGTGCTGTACTGAATCTGTCAGGAGAGGTGAGGTTAAGCTGAGGTAACAAAGATTCCTAATACTTAATGGCTCAAAACAGTGAACTTTATTTTTCACACTTGTAGTGTATCCCTTGTGTCATCTCCGCCCCCCCCCCCACTCCCCAAATAATGTGTTTGTAAGCAATTTCACTTGTAAATAGTTTTCTTTGTTATTTGAATGTGGTCATATTCCTGTAAGTTGCTAAGTGTAACGTTTTTTGAGATTAAGAAAGAGCGAATTAGGCACAGAGACAAGCAAGCGTAAGTAAGAAGACAATAAATGCTGCCAGGAGATCACTTAGGGACCTAGGAATGCTGGAGCTGGAAAAGCTGACATGGGTATTTTTCCTGAGAACTGACAGAGAGATCCTTCCCCTAGAGTCAGTCCATGAATCTAGCCTGCTGAATTGTGGGAAAATGAATTTCTGTTCATTGAACCACTACTTATATTTTGCTACAGCAGCATTAAGAAATCAAGACAGTGGGTTTTCTGGAGTCCTTTTTTTATGATGTTCTCACTCCAAGACACGGATGTGTCTGTCACCTGGGTCATGATCTCTCATTTTTCAGGAGAACAGAATAGTAAGACAAATCAGGTACTAGCTCACTCCCAATTCCTTGATCAAAGCACTTCACAGGATGACAGCTGTCCACTGATGACAGAGAAATCCAATTCTATTGTGTGCCAGAAGTATGTGGTGAAAAGACATAAAGATACATCCTATGATTTCCTAAGATTTCTCTGAATAAAATCATTCAGCTCTTTTAGCCTTTGAAATTCTTCAAACCCTTTACAGAAGAGTAGGATGTTATATTCCTTTCGTACCCTCTCTCCCAGGCAGCTAATCTTTATCTCATGCTTATTAGAATATTGTGCTTTAATGAAGAGAGCCTAGTTTTGAACCCCTGGCTACTTCCTTTTCACCTTCATGCTGTTTACTTCTTGACCTTAAAACCAAGACATCACAAAGCCAGAGAGAAAAATGCCTATGAAAGGCTTCTTCTGCAGCAGAAGCATGATCTTAGTAATTAAAACCCTAATTGAAAACAGTGGCATAAATAGGACCCTGGATCTGCCAGTCAGAAGCTCTGGGAAGTTCTTCTTTTTCTTTATTACTTAGCTTCTGTTGCATCAAGGTAAACTGTAGCTTACAGTAATGAGAACTTCTTGGTGCAAAATCGTTAACTCACTCGAACACTAACCAAAACGTTTGCGTCCATCCAGAGGCACCTCGGAGAAAGGCTTGATGACTGGCATCCAAAAATTTTATTAATACCCTAGAAAGCCAGGTGAAGCATAGTTCTACACATGATTACACACATGATGGTTTGACATACATAGTTCTACACATATGGTGGTCTTCATGAGTTAAAGTCCAGTCAGTAGCAACTGATTCTCTTGTTGTGGTAACAAGAAGAGAGGATTGAATCTTAAAGCTCTTAGGATCTGGTTCTAAACGGAGCAGGTTTTGCACTCAGAAGTAGCAGCTGGGTATAAAATCACCAAGCTTTTTATTACAGTGATTGGATTGTTCACAGAAATCAATTACATTGGTGGTAACAGCCTCAGCCTAGAGTGATATTATATTCTTCTCAAACTGGTAGTGAAGGAGAGAAGATTTTTGTTTTGCTTTTCATTTCTAGTCTATTGTAGATTACCATTACTTTTGTAAAATACAAAATCCCATGCTTGCCTATTACATCAATGCCAAATAGCTTAAGAAAAATCCTCATTATGTAATCTTTTTTCCTGTCCTTAGTTTACTGTTTGTTACACAGTTTAAAAAGCCATGCTGTATACCCCTAATTAGACCACAGGTTTCAATCAAAGTCAGGCCATTGCTTCATAGAACCCAGATTCATGATGTTATAGGTCAAATAGCATTGATCAAAGAGGCTGAAGAGCCCCACAATCCTAAGAGACTTGGTTGATCCACACCTCAAAAATAATAAGAATCCTAAACTTATCCCCTTTATATCTACTACTAAGGAGTCCTGATGTTGCAGTTGTTAAGTTTTCGGCTGGTAACAGAAAGGTTGGTCGTTTGAACACCCCATTGGCTCTGTGGGAGAAAGGTGTTGGCGTCCTACTTGCATAAATATGGAAGCGTAGAAAACCATTTAAAGCAGTTTTACTCTGTCATGTGGGGTCTTCATGAGTCAAAATTGACTCCATGACACTCAACAACAGATAACTACCAGTAACACTTCCTCAGTATGACTTATTGGTGCATGTCTAAGAAGTGTTCATGCATACACACACTCATAGAGCTAAACAAACTCAATACTGTCTTTTACTTTAAATCACTTCAGGGAGAAAAATATGACTTAAATTTCCAGCTGACTGAATGAATTTGGAGATTTAACACATGTTTAATTTCTCCCTCTTGTTTCTAACCTTGCCCCACTTGCTGCTTCAGCAGAGGAATTCTTAGACCTTACTTGTCAGAATTAATTCAAATAGTTACATGATCACCAAGCGTAATCCCCTAGGCTGCCTTGGAGTGGGGAATGCATTATTGCGGCAGTTTTATTTTAGTGAGCATCCCTCAGTCTCTGGGTGCCTTGCATCTTGTCCTGGTTTTGATCATGTGTCTGTTTATGTTACAGTTATCTCCTCTTGATGCATGTTCTGAATTTTCACTGTTTTTCTGGCCCTTGTGTCTCCTGTTCTTGTGACTTCTTTTTGACCATTAATGTCAGTCTGAGGCATATTCTGGTTGTGTATCGTGTGAGTTTCGTCTTCGTTTCTCTTGAGTTAGGCTTTATCACTTCTTTCATCCACATGGTCATTTGGTACCCACGTTGCTTCCAGGCTTTCTAACTAAAAGCCATCTGATTGAGTGAATTTGTTGGATTTATATCAGGTTATTTCTCTCTGTTTCCCATTGGCAATGATTTTAGACTATGTTAGATTAATTTGTTGACATTTAAAATGTTATTTTTCCTATTTAAAAAGGTGTGGGGGAGGGGAAGTCCACCATTCTGACTTTGCAGCAGACCTGTTAAAAGTCACTATGTTCTATGTACATGAGTGAAACACAATGTTTATGAAAATTATATGCATACAAATAAAAAAGTCTCTATGTTCTTCATGCACCTCAAAAAGAATGCAACTGCACCTTGCTTTCTTTGAATTTGTTAATGTGGGGCATGTTTCTAGTCCCTCTCCCTCCCTCTAGTGTGCAAATTGTTGTTGCCTTGTAGTGGGAAGTACCCTTTGGGGACTCTTGGACCCCATAATAGTGCACGATGAGAAGAGCAAGTGTCTGTGTGGCCCCCTAATTGATATCCTCTAGTGTGACTTCTACTGTATTATTTACATTTTGGGTTTTCGTGGTATGGTTTGTTTTGTTTTTTCTTCCTCTTGAGTAGTCTTCCAAAGCTTGCCATTACCCTTCCTTCAGACCTCTTTAACTCTGGGGATTTCCCTGTGAACTGAGACGTTAGCTGCTAATGACTTGTAGCAGGTCCCCCACACATTGCCTCTCCTGCACCTTCCGGGCAAGCTCAGGGATATAAAAAGGCTGTGTTTCAGGAAGGAAATGACTGTATCTTGAGAACTCTTGCCATTCTTTCCTGTTGGCATAGCCCTTGACTCTGATTCTCACTGTTTTATAACAGATTAAAGGGGGAGGGGGAGTTCTCTACTAGAATATTGGCACATCCTCCAATGTCGAGCGAGGCTCATGTCATTTAAATGGTTCTTGTTTAAAAATATTTTCCTTTAAAAGTGCTTCTTGGAATCGAATTGGAAAAGTTATATATTGCTGAAAGAATGCTCACTGAATAGAATTCAGAACAAGAGAATAAAAACTTCTCCCCATCTCAGAGAATGAAGGCAGTGTGGTGAGGTTCTTGGCATTCGGCAATTTTGCCTGTGTGTGGTTGTTTCTTAGTCCTGTGAACTAGACAACAGCAATAAAAATTTGCTCCTCGTGGCATGACCTGCACAGTCTTGACTCCCTGAGGCCCAGTCCTGTAATGAAATGTTTTGTTCTGTTGTTATTTCTTTTAAAAAAAAATTTAAAAAATTACACTTTCTTCTGCCCTTAAAATCAAGTCAGGTATTTATATTATGGATGGTTTTTCTCCTGGAGCTGAAATTATGTCACATCTTTACAATTGCATTTCTTCCCATTGTCCTTCTAGGAGAGTCTGCCAGGGTACTTTTGTCCAAAAGTCTTGATTAGTAGGGATGTCTGTTGATTGACTGGGAAGGACTTTTACATAAGACTGTAAAAACAGGCCAGCAGGACTCGCAGTGAAATGGATAGAAATACCCTCATTCCCTAAACCACTTAGCACCCCTGGGTCTTTTTTATGACCTTGCTAAAGGGTGGGCACTTTGATCTCTAGAAATACAGGTAAGTATAGGATAATCTTATTAGACCTTCATAGAGCTATGAAAGGAATCCATTTAATTAGATAGAATTAATAATATGAAGAATTACTATTGATTATATATTTAATTAAAAAATGAAAGCAGTTCTCATGCAATTATAATACGTAGGTTGATGGGAAAATGTCTAGAGGACTCATCTTTCTACGTTATTTTGTGGAGAAGATTATAGAAAGAATGGGACTATGGCACTTACCAGGAGGTAGGATAAAACAAGATAATTTTGTTCTACTTGAATGAATTGACATCGCAATGGTAGATGCACCCAATAATGTTTGTTTATACAAGTAGTAGCTTCTTTTAGAGTGATCTAAAAATACTCTTTTTTTCCCTGCTCTGTAAGACAATACAACCAAAGAAAAAGAATTGCTTCAAAGTGTAATCAGAAACATTAAACATGCCTGCTCCACTTCCTGTTATTTGACTGCACGCTCAGAAGGTGTAAGCGCTGCCATTCTGTCTTTGTGTTTTGCAGGATTTTCACTGTCTTCTGTGGAAGAAGATGGCGTTCGAAGGCTCTACGTGAATAGTGTGAAGGAAACGGGTTTAGCGTCGAAGAATGGTAAAGCAGTGAATGACTCTGTCTTCTTTAGGTTGTCTTTGGGGCTTTTTTTAGTGGGTGGATGATAAAGATCAACCCAAAGGATTCATGTGTAAAGATACTGAGATATGTAAAAATGTTGAAAATCTTTCTCATGGGTTTTATTCAGTAAATTCAAGAAAGCTCACAGTTTTGGTTTTTCTAAAACCACTTAAATTCTGAGCCCATTTCCATGGGGCTAACTGAAGTTTCCACTCTAATCAGAAGTGGTTATTCTTCCCCATATTCTATGATGAGGCAAAGGCCCGAGAGATCTTCCTGGAACAGAATATGCTTTGCTCCAAATGGCTCAGAGCTGACGCTAGCCATCACCTAAGTCTGCAAAGCTTCTCAAGGCAAATGTTTGTTCTGTTGCTTCCAGTCTCTGGCCTCAAGATCTATCCTCCTTGTCTCCATTGGAGAATTAGTCTTTGCTTTGCTCATCCTGTCTGCCTGCATCCCTGCAAGGGCTCCTAGTACAATCTGAGCTGCTTGGGGAACACTAACAACTCTTCCACTTCTTCCTGTGTGGCCCTCTTACAGGGATGCCAGCCATTGGATTTAGAGCTTACTCCAGAGCTAGAGGATCTCATCTTAATGTAATTACATCTGCAAAGCGCCCATTCCATATTAGGTCACATTCTAATATTCCCTAGGGATGTGACTTTTAAGGGGACTTTGTTCAACACACTGTTCTTAATAGGTATTGTTTTGCCACTGCCTGCATGACCTAAAGATTCATTTGAAGTCTTTGTTTCATTCTTATAGCAGGATTTAATTTCTATAAGCAGAGGTGAATTAATACCTGTTCAATATAAAGGACCAACCCAACTGGGTCAATTGTGGCTGGGTGTTGTACTTTGCTCTTTTAAGGGGCTGCTGAATAGAGCAGCTGGGGAAATTCAGAAATGTCAACCTTTGCCTTTTCTTTTCATGCTACGTCAGCTTCACTATGGGTAGTTCCTGGATCACCTGTGCCCATTATATCACCTATGCTATAAGCCTAGGTGTAGCACAATGTATGGATATGGCCATGCCCAGAAGTGGGAAAGATGTAACAAAAGGGAAGTCAAGTTATAATTCTGCATCAACCATGGACTATTGAGTGGGAGAGGATTCTCCTCTCACGCTTTCTTGACCAAAGGCAGCTAGCTTGCAGGTCAGAATCTGCCAGACTCACTGAGCTATAGCTCAGAAAGCAATAGAAGTGACAGGGTTTATTCCCTCTCAAACCCAAAGACTGATTTTTATCTTTCAGCAAAATGAATGTGCCAGTTGGCATAGCACGGGGGTGGGGGAAATCTTTCGCCTCCTTTTCACTCATATCCTGTGTCAGTGGTTTGATTCTGACAGCCCTAGTATTAGGGGACAACGAGCAATCATCTGTTTTAGACCCCTTACCTCATCGCACACTGGTTGCTACACTTGCAGATGTGATCTCCTTCTTGTCTCCAAGTGTCTCACTTCATGGCACAGAAGGCAATGTCAAGACAGGGTCTGGAGGCATTTTATGTTAAATCTAGGCTCAGCTGAATACTCTCATAACAGAGCTTGTGTGGGACAGCCTCTATGGGGCATCCCTGACTATATAACCTTTCTCCTCCTGTTTCCATTCGCCAGTCTGGGCTCTGCTCAGTTCTTTGACATTAATGTAGTTTGATTGTAAGTCTTTTACCCATTCAGCACTTCCAAATGTTTTTCTGTCATTCATTGGATTGTAGAACCCACCCCTGACTATGGCTAGTGTACTAGTTTTCTTCTGAAAAGACCAGAATGTGGAGTCTCCTTGGAACATTACCTAGCCTCACTCTTACCCATGATGACCTCTAGTGTATCAAAGAACTGTGCTTCATAGGCTTTTAGTGGTAATTTTTTTTTCCCATAAGTAGATCACTAGGCCTTTTCTCAGGGCACCTCTAGGTGGACTCAAACCTCTAACTTCATTTGGGTCTATTTATAACCTAGCTTAAGTTTGTGGTGTTGTGTGAAGTTCAGTACCATTAAGTCAGAACTGACCCATAGCTCATGCCACAGCGGAGTTTCAGGGGCAGTAAATCACATGGGAGATTACCTATCTTTCTTCCATGGATCCACTGGTGGATTTGAACCATGTGCTTTTGACATGGCAGCACAGCTCCTTAGCACAAGATCACCAAGGTGGACAGACATGGTGACTGCAGCAGTGGGCTCAAGTGTGTCAGAGATGGTGAGGATGGATTAGAGATGATGAGGATGGCACAAGATAGGACAGAATTTAGGTCTCTTGATCATAAGGTCTTTGTGAGTTATACTGGACTTGATGGTACCTAACAACAGCCAGCTTAAGTTTACTTTTTCTTTTTATTATCCAATTTTTGTATCTTGTTGTGAGCTACTGATTAACCCCTCAGCCCTTTACCTGGCCCTTTCCACATACAGACTAGTTAGTTGGAGGTCATGCTGGCTGGACTGGTAGAATTGAGTATTTGAAACTCAGTGTGTTACGTCTGCTTAATTTGAATGTGTTTGTTTGACCCATCATATTCCTCTTGGGGACATTTGAGGTTGGCCAGTTAATTTCTTAGAGCTGCCATAGGAAATTGGATGGCTTGGGAAAACAAAAATGTGTTCTCACAGTTTGGAAATCCAGAAGTCCAAAACTGAAGTGTTGGCAGCCTCTGGGTTAGAATTTGTTCCCTGTGTTCGCTTAGCTTCTGGTTTTGCCAGGACTCCTTAATGTTCCTTGACTTGGAGCTACATCACGCAAGTTTCTGTTTTCTTTGTCACATAACTCTCCCTTGTGTCTATGAGTTCATAGAGAAATTTTCTTTTTCTCTTATGAAAATAGGGCATAGGGTGCCCCCTGTACACAGTAGAGGACACTTATTGATTGGCTCAGGATGGAGCAGGGTTCAGAGCTGTTGTGCATAGGGTCCTATAAGTTTTAGTAGACTCAATGACACATTGCAACAACAACTGACAAAGATAAATAACACCATTCATTGGATCAGGGTTTATCTGAATCTAGATGATGCCATCTTTAATTATATTTACAAAAACCCGATTTCCAAATAAGGTCTCATTCTGACATTCTAGGCCATCATGAATTTTGGTGGGATGCTAGTTAAGTAGCATTGGAACTAAGACTTTGCTTTGCTTTTATCCAAGTTTTCCACTGATGGCTACACAGAGCAGTCAAGTTGAGAAAGTCATGTGCCTTCCTACCTCATATAATGTACATACTGACTATAGATCGATGTTTTTGTTGAAAATTTGCTGAATTGTAAATCCATTTCCCTGTACCATCCTCATCATTACTGTTCTTCATCCGCATTTTACTCTTTCTCCAAATCTTACAAATCTGTGTACAATAGGCACTGCTGACACTGGAGGATTATAGGTGAAAAAATAATGCCACTTAGGGAATGAGTTGATCTTTCTTCCCACACCTCATTTTAACTGTGCTTTGGGCCTTCCTTGGGTAAAGGCAATCTTGTGTCATTTCCTTTTTCTTTTTAATTTTAGACATTAAGATATCTTTTCATTTAAAAATTACTGAATAAGTTGGGTGAAGGGAAAGGCAATAAATAATAAGGATTCAGTTAGACATTGTAATTAATTATATTATTCTATTTTAATAGATGTTATAAAACAAAATGCCTACAAATGATTGGATGAAAATCTCAATATATTTGTAAGCTTTCATCCAAATTAAAATTAAAACAAACAGTTATGTGGCAAACCACATTAGTTTACTGAGGTAAGAAAGGCCTTTAAATCCACCTCTGCACGCGACTTGCTTCACTGCATACTCCATTCAGCGCATGTTCCACACACTGACTAGTGGGAGCTTTATTCTGTCCATGACAGATGATGCCAGATTTCTGGTTATGTTGGTAATGAGCCCTGCTTAATCTTGTTTTTGTCTACTTTTAACCTCATTTTATGCAACCTTTTCTTATGTAGCTCTTCTTTTTCTTTTCATTGATGCTTTGTTTTAGCCCTAGAACATGCCAAGAGATCCCACATAGTTGCCTCTTTCTATATTTTTTTGTCTTTGGGATTGCCAGTCATTAAGTAGAACAGAGATATTTATTTTCTTGCCGTCATCATCAGGAAGTCATCAGAATTCTTTTAAGTGGGGACAGAATGCCCTTATCCAATCTTCAGAGTAAAAATGCGAATTGCTCTGAAGTGGGAAGATTTGGTAATCTAATAAGCCTCATAGAGAACTCTAGTTCCCTAATGGTTAAGATACGGTGTCACTGTTAATTCGCCAGCTGTGCCAGCAACTTGACAACGACACCCTGATGGGGATAAGCACAACGGAAATACACCACTCCAGGAGAGGATCAGAGGTCAATCCAGCTCAATTTTATTAGGACTGCACTTATGTACACAGGAAGACCAGATAGGGTGGACTTACAGACGTGGGACATGCAGATTGGTTAGGATAACCTCAGCTTCGTGCAGACCACTCCCAGCTCAAAGGATGCAACAGCCAACTTCCCAGGTGGCGAGCTTTCTCAAGCCAGTACAACCAAACACAGGGGAGCTTTCTTTACCCCGTATTAAAGGCTGTTGGGAGACTTGCACATATCTGGAGCTTAGGCAATCTGTCCTGGCCAGAGACCCTCCCTTCCTCCCCAACATTCCGCAGCAATACTGTACAGGCAAACCAAGGGCAGGCAGGTGGAATCCACCTTCTGCTCTGAGGGAGAAAGATAAGCAGTCTCTTCCAGTATAATTTATAGCCTCGGAAACATGCTGGGGGGGTCAGCTATGAGATGGTTCTGACTCAGTGGCACTTAACAATAATAAAATAGCCTTACAAGGAATTATGGTGGCCCAGTGGGTAAGGAGTTACACTGCCTACTTAAAGGCAGGTAGTTTGAATCCACCAGCTGCTCTGAGAGAGAAAGCTGAGAAGTCCCCTCCTGTGTGATTTATAGCCTCTGAAAACCCACTAGAGGGTCAGCAATGTGTTCTAACGTGATAACATACAACAACAACAGTAGCTTTGTTGTTATTGTTCTTGTTGTTATGTGCTGTTGAGTCACCTGCAACTCGTAGTGAATCGCACTGCCTCTGATACACCTATCCCGATTACCCCAGTCACTATAATCAGTCCACCTCATAGAAGGTTTTCCTCTCCTGCTCTGTCCCTCCCCTCCCAAGCATGACATCCCTCTCCAAGGACTGGTCCCTCCTTGCAACATGTCCAAAGTATGTCAGATGAAGTTTCAGAATCCTTGCCTCCAAGAAGCAGCCCAGCTTCATCCTCTCCAGGATAAACCTGTTCCTTTTCTTAGCAGTCCATGGTATACTCAATACTCTTCTCCAGCACCACAGCTCAAAGGCATCAATTATCCTTCTGTCCTCCCAGGTCATTGTTCAGCTCTCTGATGCATAACAAGTGATTGCAAAGACCATGGCCTGTATCAGGCACACCTTAGTCTCTAGACTGACATTGTTGCTCTTCATCACAGTAGCTTTATGCCTGTTAAATTGGCCAGATGACCGTATGTGCTGGCTGATAGACCTCAGACAACAACTGCACCCAAATACATACTTTAGATATCCCTTTCCCTCTTACCACGAGACTGCTTCTATGGTGTTTTTCTTTCCACTTGGTTAGATCAGCTCATTAGGAGTGTGCATCCTGTTGATTTGGCATGAAGACAAGATCACAGAGATAAAAGGCTTCCCAGATGGAAAGGAAGAGTTTATTCCTGACCGTACAGAACTCATACAACATCTTTCACCTGCTTCTTCACTTTTGCCAGGCTTCAGTTAGGGATCATTTCTGAATTAGGTGTAGGTTTGAGAGAAAAGTTTCCCTCTTCTTTCTACCAAATTTAATAATGAGCTCTAATCTTTAGTGAGAATCATCTGAACTGAGAGTTTAGTAAGGGTTATTTTATTTCATCTTTAAAAAAGGGGGTCATTTTATTTCATATAACCTGCTGAACCTCTTGCATCTGAGGAAACTGAGGCTGGGGGGAGATGTAATCACATAGAGCCATTAATTATGTCATTGTATTAGTGTCCTGAGATGACCATAACGAAATGCCGCATGGAGTGGCTGTGGAAACAGATTGCCTGACAGTCTGGAGGCATTACTGAAGCCTCGATTCAAGGTACTGAGCAGTGGATACTTTCTGAGGTCTTTGAGTTGTTCTCTGCCTCTCCTCTACCTTCTGGTGGCATTCTCTGCTAATTATAGATGCATCTGCCTCCTTTGTCACATGACATCTTACTTTTACATGTGACTCTGTTTCTTTCCCTTTTATAAAATGCCACTCAGAAGAAGTTAGGATTAAGACCCACCCTATACCGATATGACCTCGTTTAACTTAGTTTATAATCCAAAATCAGAATAATAGAAACCACTATAAAATTCCTGTTTCCCCAAACAAGTTCAGGAGTTAGGACATCACAGCATTTTGGGGAGACACAATCCATTCTGTAACAGGGATGAATCTAAGACAGAGAGACGCTGGTGAGGGACTTTGTTTTTTGCCGTTGCTGAGCTGCCTCCTCTCACTTATTAATTCTGAGAATCACTACCTGAGATCCCCTGCTTTATTTTTCTATTACTACCATAACATTACCACAGACTGAGTAACTAAAAACAATAGACACGTATTTACACACAGTTCTGGAAGCAAAGTCCTTCACCAGGATACTGGCAGGTCCATGTTCCTTCTATCACTTCCATGGGGGAGAATCCTTCCTTGGCTCCTCCAGCTACGGGCTCCTCCCTGTGTCCCTGGTTTATGTGGTAGCTCTTCCTCCTCTTCTCTGTGTGAGTTCTTCTCTGTTGTTCTCTTATTAAGACTCTAATCATTAGCTTGAGGGCTCACCCAGATGGCTAGGGTGACTGTATCTCAAGGTTTCTAACTTAATTACTTTGGCAAACATTTTTGCATTTTTTCCCCAAGTAAGATCACATTGACACATTCTGATAATATTAATGTGTCTTTTTGGAGGCTGTTGTTAGGGAACTGTAGTGGCCTAGGAATAAGAAGTGCTGGCAACCCAAAAGCAGGTGGTTCAAATCCACCATCTCCTCTAAATACATTTCACAGCCTCTGCTAACTCTCTGGAGAGTCAACTGTGAGTCACTTCTCACTTGATAGCACATGGCAGCAACATTCAACCCACAGTGTACTCAAACTCCACCAATTAGTAGTAAGCCTGGATCTTCTTTTAAAAAAGTGTAGCGATGTCTTTAGTTTTTAATCTTCTGCTTATCCTTATGTTACCCTTTCTAACTATCTCTCCAAAAGAAATATCTTCAGGACAGAGTTTTTTCGCTGATTTTTTGTTTGTTTGGTGTTTGTTTTGGGGTTTGGGTTTTTGTGGGGTTTTTTTGTGTTTTTTTTTTGTTTGGGGTTTTTGTTTGAAATTTTGTGTTTTGGTAGGTTTTGTTTTTATTAAAGCTTGCTTTTCACATGTGGAAATTTTGTATTTTCACTTCAGATTCTCTTACGGCAAAATCTTGTACTTGAAAATGGACTACCTAGCTTTCCAGATTTCAGTAATCTCACACTATTATTCTGGAGAAACACATCCTTATTTTTCTTCTGTTGCCATAATGTTTCTTGGAGTGTTTTATGATGGAAAATTGATTTCATGTATCTTGGGATCCTGAGTGGAGGTTGGCCTGAACATGTGACTCATGAAAGTTGGAACTTTTTTCTTAGCTAAAAAAATGTTTTTCTTTTCATACTATTCTTTGACTTCTCCCTTTCTCAAATTGCTGGAATTTTCTTTTAATATTGGACAGCCTGGTGGAGCAGTCCCAACCTTTTGTTCTTTTAGGCTGGGCTTGTTTTGTCTCTATTCCTTTAGATCACTAACTGTGGTAACTCCTCATCATGCTTTGCAGAAGAAGGTGAGTCTCTGGGGACCTACGAAAAAAATACAACAGGGCCCTGGCAAAACTAAGGACAAGAAATCATAGCATTTGGTTCTGTAAACTAAGGTCTGTAAATGTGTTTGGAATCAGATGAGCTTCTATTCCAAATTTGTGTGCTTGTAGGAAGAGGAAACTTGTGGTATTTTGGTTCCGTAACTATGACTGATCAACACTATGCTGTGTCCTGTGGTGTGAGCATGAACAAAGCATATTGATTACAGCATTCAGAGTTTGTTTCCTTTTTTTCCCCTTAAAACTGAAAGAGGTTAGATGACATTAGCATGTATGAAGAGAAATTGCCAGATGCTTAGAACATACACATGAAAAGAGGAATAATTTTGTTTGGTGATTGTGTTCAAAACAGCATGGGCCGTACTATGACAAGCTGGTCTGGAACTTTCCGAAGCTAGGGTGCATGTTGTCGTTTAATATTCTATTTTGAGCACGGCAGCCTCTGTTTGCAGCACCTGAGGCCGTGAGCCTGGGAACGGGAGAGCATGGTGTGCTCTGTGCAACAAAACTTCTTAAGGTGTTAGGTTCTGAGTTGATGATGCTGTTTTTTGAAATGAAAAGATTTCCGTCTTGCGTTGGCAGGCCTGAAAGCAGGAGATGAGATTCTTGAGATCAATAATCGTGCTGCTGGAACCCTGACCTCATCAGTGCTCAAAGACTTCCTCACACAGCCGTCCCTGGGCCTCCTGGTGAGGACCTACCCTGAGCCTGAGGCGGGAGAGGAGCTGCTGGAGAGCCCGCCCCACCGGGTGGACGGCCCATTGGACTTCAGCGAGAGCCCCCTGGATTTTCTCACCAGCAACCCAGGTATAGTACATATGGTGTTGAGGGCACGTCGGTGAGTGAAAGATGGGAAGTTTAACATGTGTGTGCATATTTGGGTTTGGGTGTACCCAGTGGTATGAAATAAGGTGCAATGAGATCAGAATCTCAAAGTGTGTGGGAACTTTGTTCTCTTTAAAGTGCTTCTAGTTTGATTCTCTTTGAATCAACCTGTCACACGTGAACAACTTAATAATGCTGCTGCTCTTTGCTATTTGGGAAAGGCCACCATCTCTTGACTTTGGAAAGAGGCAGGCAGACGCAGAACTGGGGAAATCACCTAAGATGTTCAGACCCTGATTCCTGCACCTGGTGAACATTGGTGAATCATGGTGAACGTTGACACCCCCACTCCTCCTGGCCCTGCTTTCCCCAACTATGTGAGAGGGCATGAAAGGGGTTGTCCAGAGGGGACAAGTGCCCACAGCTCTTATTCTGTTGATTTGTCCCCCACGCTTCTCCTATCTCAGGTCTGAAGCCTGGCAGCAGGATTACCAGTCTGATCCCATCTGCTCTTTTCCTATCTACACCATCTTCTCCTCTCTGGCCCAAGGAAGCAATTTGAGTATTGTTTGCTCTAGGAAGCCTTCCTGGGACCTCCTGCCCCTGCCCCAGCCCCGAGCTGGCTCCCTCTCCACTGCCCTCCAGGACCCTACAAGCATGCTTTCACGTGCGTTCAGATCACATCGTACTCTGCCTCCTGGCTTGAGTCTCTGTCTACTGAGTCTGTTTCCTGGGACTGGGGTTAGGTCTCCTTGATCTTTATCTCCTCAACTCTCACACAGGGCTTGCTGCTTGTGTTCCCCAGTCTTGTTTAGCAGGGCAGTGTGTGGAAAAGTCCGTCGCATATTTTGACATCACCTGTTTGCTCATTTGGGTTGATTAACAAGTCGATTGAGATTTTAGAAATATTTTCCCCTTTCAATATTGGTGAAAAATAAGTATGCCATTTCAAAGCTTGACTGTAGGTATTTTGGATATTTTTGCTCAGCCAGCGTTTTTCAAATGACCTTCTGAAAAGTGGCTTCATATGAAATGTGAAGGCTTGAGATAGTCATTCTTCTACTAGGTGGCTCCCTGGAAGAACTGGCAAGCTGAGCTTCAGACAATTGATTGTGCCTGTTACTATTGTTACTGTTAGATAGATCATTGTGGGCACAAAGGCTTTTTATTTTTACCAAACCCTTTACACTTGGCTGCATTGAGTTGCAGGCCCTTAATAAAGGGAATCCAGACCATGAAGACTGTTCTTTTATGTAACCACAAGATGTCAGGCTTGATCTCTTAAAACTCAGTTAACAGCTACAATTGTTTGCATAATGATTTTGAAGGAGGCACTTTGTACCAGATTAGATAATGTAAAGGGCTTTATTATAAAGCCTTAATGTATAGACTATAAACTATAATGTGCTCATCATTTTGTTCTGTCTGATCCCTGTCTATGAATTGTAGACATAAAGCAGAGGTTGGAAGATGCCTAACCACAAGCTATAAATCCATCTGCTTTGCCTTTTTCTGTAAATAAAGTTTTATTGGAACAGAGCCATGCTCTCTTTTTGTGTATTTTCCAAGGCTATTTTTCTGCCTCAGTGACCGAGTTGATTTGTTATCACAGAGACAATGCCTTGCAGGCTTACAGTGTTTACTTTTTGGCTTTTGATAAGGAGCTCTGGTGGCCTAGTGGGTAAAGGGTTGCACAGCCAACCCAAAAGCAGGTGGTTTAAACTCACCAGCTACACTGTTAGAGAAAGATGGTCAGTTTCCACTTGTGTGATTTACAGCCTCTGAAGACTTCTAACCACAGTGTCATCTATGATTTGATCTGACTTGATAGCAGTGAGTTATAGGGTCACCTTTGGCGGATAAAGTTTGCTGACCTGATATAAAGTGTGACTCAAATTGCTCAGGATTTGTTTCTCTAAAGGTTGTTGTTAGCTGGTTTTGAGTCACCCTTGCCCCCTTGATGTCATGCATAATGGACTAAAACACTGCCTGGTTCTGTGCCTTCTCATGGTTTGTTGTGGATAGGGATCAGACCGCTGAGATTCATAAGGTTTTCCTGGATTAATTTTTAGAAGTAGATAGCCAGGCCTTTTTTTCCTCGTGTACCTTAGTCTGGAATCTGCACCTAAAGCTATTCAGCATCATAGTTCACATGCAGGCCTCCTCTGACAGTGAGTGGTGGCTGCCTATGAGATGATTGGCCGGGAACTGAATTCAAGTTTACCACATGGGAGATGAGAATTATACCACTGTACTGATCCTCACTGTTAAGGGTTTGGTATATTTCTGTCTTCTTCTTCTTTTTTACTTGCGTATTCACACAAACACATAAATACAAATGTCTGTATTAAAATATCTTCTATAAAAACTTTTATTTGAAATTTTAAAATGTTATTTGTGTATGTTTACAATATTTATGTGTACATCTGCCTTACAAGTATTTTAATATATTCCACATGTACTTGTTACTATCCTGTTTTTTAGTGTGATGGAATTTTAAACTGAACAGGGGGCTTTTACATCCTACCTTGTGTTACCCCTTCAGATCACTCACCTGTAGAGGCCATGTGCTTGTTCTACTGCCGTTATTTAGAACTGAATAAACCTGAAATTTGGGCATCATTCTTTATTTCCCTTTGAGATGTTTCCCAAAACATGCCTGAAAGGTCACAACCATGAAAACTCTGTGGGAACCAGTTTTACACAAATAGGTCATGTGAGTTGGGATTCATGCTACCAAACCAAACCAAGTTTTATGCATTCCCAGTGAGTCAGTTACAGCTCCCGACAATCCTGGGCTGAGTTTCCTAAGCTGTAAATCTAAACAAGAGCAGACTGCTTTCTCTTTCTTCCCCAGGGTGAATGGCTGATGAATTGAAACCATCATCTCTTCCAAAGCAGCCGACACTTAACACACTGCATCACCATGATGCAGTGTCCATATTAACGCAAAATAAAGTTTGCTCAGTCTTTGTTCATTAATATTTGCTCAGTCTTTGTTCATTAAATTAGTTTAAGAAGGAAGTGTGAAAATGAAGGCGTAGTGTTATTTTCTGGAAAGGTTTCTAAGTTGGCTTCACGATGAGGAAATTCCAGAGGAATCCTCAGATGCACTGTGCCGGCAGCACAGGTGGTCCAGCTGGGTGGGAGAAGGCTAGGACTCGGGCTGGCTGCCTTCTGATAGCTTCTGCTTCCCATTTCCTATTAACAGGGAAGGATCAAAGGGGAAGCAAGTAAACAGGACAAAATAACCTGCAAAATTGCTCAATAATGAGGCTGAGATAAAACGCTATTCAGAGACAGCTGCAGTTAAAATAGGAAACACGGTGGGGGGGGGGGTGTCAGTACAATGAATAGGCTTGGACCACAGCCTTCATTTAAATTTAGAAGGAACTAGAAATAGGAAACATCCTGAGTGTCAGGTTTGAGGTTTGATGCAGGGACGTCCTAAGATTGTCATGTTACACATTTGGCCACCTTGGTGAGGACATGGTATTGTCTCAGGGACTCGAGTCATGTGAGGCTGGCAGATGCTGCACTACTCCAGACCATCCCATCTCAGAGAGGTGCTGGCCTGGCCAGACCTCTTCCCCTGACTGAAATGTGTCAGCAGTTTTCCGAGTTGGATTATTTCTGAGTCCCCTTCACATGTAGCTGTTTGCTTTTTTCTATGTGGAAGCGTCATAACCCAACAGCTAAGAGTAGGTTTGTTTTTACCTTGGGACTGAGAACTAGTTCTATATCATTGGCTTCATTACCTTGAGCAGGTTGTTTAATCTTTTCGTATTCTGGTGTTCACATCTACAAAATGAAGGTGTTACTATACTACTCTCTTGCTAGATTGTTATGAAGGTTTAATTGTGTATGTATATAAAGTAGAAGGAGCCTGAGTGGTTATGTGATCAACTGTTAGCTGAAATGTTGATGGTTCTAAGCTACTCAGTGACACTGTGGGAGAAGGAGCTGGCAGTCTGCTTCCATAAAGACGGCAGCCTTGAAAGCACTGTAGGGCTTTTATCTGTCGTAACCAAATTGCTGTGACTCAGAATGAACTCACTGACACCTGACGGTGTTTTACAATGCATTTGGTAGAATAACAGTGTGTAAAGTAGAGTCCCTGAGTGGTCAAATCGCTGAATGCTCAGCTACTATTGGAAGGGTTGATAGTTCAAATCTATCCAGCAGTGCCTCAGAAGAAAAGCCTGACAATCTACTTTCAAAAGACCATAAACCAAAAACCAAACCCACAGACATTGAGTTGATTCTAACTCTTCACAACTCTTATCAGGTTTCTGGATCTATAAATAGATTCACTCATCTTTCTCCCTCAAAGTTTGATTCAAAGTGGTGACCTTTTGATTAACAGCACAGCACTGTGCCAGTAGAGCTCTTTCCATAAGGTCATGGTCATTGATAAACTATGAAGCATAGTTTGTGACATACATTGATTACCATGGGTTGGGATGGAGAAAAGATTGAAACTGTCAGTGACTTCATCTTTGTTGGATCCACAATCAATAAATACATTTGATACAAGGAGTCAGGAAACCAGGAGATGTACTGGGAACATGTCCAAATTATTGAGGACTAATGATGTTAGTTGGAGGACTAAGGTGCAACTGATTGAGGCCATGGTCTTTTCAATTATTGGCTATGCTGCTGAGAGCTGGACAGAGAAGGGTGCTGAATATCCTATGGACTGCCAAAAGAACCAACAGATATGTCTTGGAAAAAGTGCAGCCAGAGTGCTCGTTGGAGGCAAAGATGATAAAGCATGTTGCTAGGACAGGCTATTCCTTAGAGAGGGACATCATGCTTGGGAAGATGGAAGAATAGTGAAAGAAATGAAGACCCTCAACAAGGTGGTGGATTGACACAGTAACTGCAGCAATGGTCTCAAGTGTGTCGGAGATTGTGAGGATGGCACAGGATAGGATACGTTTCAAGTCTGTTCATAGAGTTGCTATGGCTCAATGGAACCT